GGGGAAGGAGGAGAAGGAGGAGGAGGAGGAGAAGGAGGAGGAGGAGGAGGAGGAACAGAGGGGATGATTGGGAGCGAGCAGAAAGGAGTGCAGGATCTTGAGAGCTACCTGCCATCCAGCCGTGTATCGTGAGGGAGCCAGTTTCAGGCGACGCGTCCAGACGCCCTCTGGGCACGTGAAAGCGATGCATCATGAGGAAGTACAGGGCAGAAGAGAGAGAGGGATGGAGGAGGAGGAGCATGAGCATGAGCATGATAACAAGACGAGGTCTTAAACTAAAAGCCACCCACTGACCGCCTCCAGGTAGACGAGGGAATGGTACACGTACGCGGCGAAAAACATACCTATTGATTCAAGGTTCGGCTGAGGTGAAATCGGCTCGATGCGGCCCTTTCAATGATGTGTACAACACGAGCCCAAGTCACGATACACAGCACTGGTCATCGGGCAACCCCTCAGAGGGATCGCCTCCTCCACAAACAGCCCCGCCATGCCAATCCAGAATGCCGTACCCACGTACGAGACACACTATTGAATTACACTGACGTGGAAGACTGCACGCCGAAATTAGTGTATGATGCCGACACTACAAACCACGAGCTTCACCATTATTGAATGCAGAAGGACAGCGCCACCAAACAACGGTGATTGGAACAACCCTTGCACCCTCAAGTTCCTCGACACGCAGAATACTGACAAGCCGGCACCCATACATCCAGCGATGCAGCACCATGGCAGCACGAGAACATTGACAAGGAAGCCTGTACGCCGAACTGTGTGTAGCTATGAAGCCAAACCGACTGAATACAAGCATTGCCGCGATCTTCACCATTATTGCATGCAATGAAGCTGGCACCAAACATAAAGAGCGATGACGCCCATGCCCCCAGCATCCTCAGGTCCCTCGAAGCGCGGCCCGACAGCTTGAAATAGTACGCTCGGGTGCGGGCGGGTGGGTAAATGCACAACCAGGCTCCCCCCATGGACCCCGCACCCGAGACGGACAACGAGGAATGTGCACAGGAAAGCGGAGAAAAACTCCAAACCATCCAGTCCACGCCAGCCGATTCGCTTGAGAACCACTCACAAATGCAGTAGTACGGCACCTTGGCAGAACAAAATACAAAATTGAATGACGCCTGATTGCAAGACTTCGCCCCGCCCTTAGCCGATCCGCGCCTCAAGAAAGAAGACAAGAGGTGCGGATAGCCACAAGCACGCCGCGATGAGGCGGCGGGGCAGGGCCCATGACGCGCTCGAGCCAAAAGGATCTACGCGCCTTGGGCCCCATGCGCTTGTGATGGAGGAGGAGGAGGAGGAGGAGGAGGAGGAGGAGGAGGTGGAGGACGAAGAGGGATCGTGGAGGAGGAGGAGGAGGAGGAGGAGGGGTTGCAAAGCAATGCCCTGCAGGAGCAGCCGCAATCCTCAAGAGCGCCACGCTGCCGAGGGGCGCGGACCCGCTCAGCTTGCTCGCGAGGGGGCCGTCACAGGCCCCGTCCGACACGCCGCCTGGAGCGTCGCCTGGAGCGTCGCCTGGAGGTGCATGGGGGACTAAACAGAACCCCTTCTGAGATCCGGGCGTTGCAATTTCTCTACACTGGGCGTTTTCGCCCAGTTCGGGCCCCTGGGCAATCACAGACCGACCCGGCCCGAAAAATGCGGCAGAAAGATGGGTCTGGTTCTTTGGCCGGGAATTTTCGCGACGTTGGGAGTGTCTTGCAACGTCTGGTTTCGGGGAACCACAGACAGACAGGAACCGTGCCTAGACGGCACATCGATTGCAGATCGAGTGTATGTACAATCGCACTCTAGCTCCAGATGGGATTATATATGAATCTGCTCGGTCATGCCCGACCCCGCCAAGAGGCTCACAAGGTGGACGACCCGGAAGAGCAGCGGCAGCAGGGGGCAGAGGAGGGAACGACACCCGGGACCAGGACGAACCCAGAGCTGGGGGAGGGAGGAGAGCGAGCGACAGGCGACGACGCCCGAGAGGAGGGGAGGAGGGCGAAGCCCAGGGAGCGACGCAGGACGGCGGAAGAGGGACGACGACACCACCTGAGGGCACGCTGGCTGGGGAGTTGGGGCGAAAATCGAGCTTTCTAAAAATCATCACATCGAACAAATTTTAAGCACTGTGTCGCAAAACGCCCGGGTGGTGCGTTCTAAATTCAAACAGTACCTCAACACTTCCTCTTTCCACGCTTGGCGATTAAACGTGCTCTGTCCGAGCGTTTGTCGGACGGCCTCTTCCTGGCTCGCGGCCCCTCCGTGCATGCACGTTGCACTTGTCAGCACGCGCGCGTGCATTACCGCTGTAGTCTCGGACGTCCTCTGCGGCGCTTCCGGGGTCGAGCGAGGAGACGCGAGTTCCCGTTGTGGAAAACACTCTGGCGAGGCAGCGATTCGTTGGGCATGGCGGACAGCTCTCCAAAATACAACAACGGTTTGGCCAGCGCGTGCTGGTTTACAAACTTATGATGCGCTCTGCTTCGCACTTCTGCGTTGTAGTATGTGATACCACCGAAATTGCGAAATATAAACAATTTTACGTAAAAGGCTGGGTTTGGAAAGCGTCGATCTTAAGTCGGTCTGCTGTTTGCAGGCAAAGTGTTTCTAGGCTGTACGTAAGTTTAGATACGACGCAAGCGTCAAACAATTGAATTTGCCTGGACCTACTGACGTTGGCATGCCGCCAGACGGCTTGCAGCGCATCGAAAGACGCGCGAGCCTCGCCTACCCGTCGGGCAACTGAGGCCCCCGTTTTCCCGTCGGCCCGCAGGAGGCTGCCCAGGCAGACCGTCGATGTGACCATATTGAGCGGCATGTGGTGCGGCGTGTGGATGTCCATGCTGTGCCAGACGCGCAAGCGCACGGTCTTGTCCCAGTTGGGCTCCTGCCTGGCCTTGAAAATCAGCCAGTTCAAAAAGTATTGCAATTTGTCGATGTCAGTCGACACCAGCACCGTGTCGTCGGCGTGCGCCACGTCGGCGCTGAACACATCAGTGCGCGTGCGTCCGAAACGCGAAATAACATCTGGTTCGGCATCATCCATCAGTTCGCTCAACATAATGATGAACAAATACGGGTTCAGGGGACACCCGTGCGCGATGCTGGAGGCCTGCGCGTGCTGGTTGCCGCTGCCACGTTCGTCTTTCACTGCGAACATGCGACCAACGTAAATGGCAGCGGTCATCTTGATGTACGGGTCGGTTAAGCCAACTGGGCAAGGGCAGTCAGCACCGCGGAAGGGGTCCATCCGGTCGAACACCTTAATTTGACCAATCGAGCAGGACAGCAAAAAGTTTGGTATCTTTCCCAGCCCACGTTTGCTCGATGTATCTATGCAGGATGAAGACGGCGTCCCTGGCGCCCCGTTTCTTCCGGAAACTAAACTGGCTCGGCCCAAGGCGTTCTTCGGCGCCCCCCTGTGAAATCCTGTCCAAAAGGAGGGCAGCCAAGATCTTGTAGCTCACTGCCAGAAGAGAAATTGGTCTGTAGTTGGCCGGCAGGGACTCGTCCCCTTTCTTGTGCATGGCGCTGACCCTATTATGCCGCCACGTTTGCGGGGCCAGTTTCTGCTGCCAGCAGTTGTTCAACAAGTCTAAGAGAACAACGCATGCATCGTCGCTGCCACGAAGAATTTTCCAGAAATCGGGTGGAACGTCGTCTGGTCCGTCTGCTTTCCCCGCCCGGAGCTTGCCGAGCACGGTGCGCAGCTCGTTTGCAGAGAAGTCCTCCGCGGGGAGGTCCAAATCCTGCTCGCGCCTGTGTCCGCGCGGAAGGGGTCGCGCTGGCGCGGGAGAGGGGGCCATTGCACATCCGAAAGGTACGTTGCCATGGTCTCGGCCCTGTGCGCGCTGTCCACCAGGTCGCCTTCGTCGTCTCTCAGCCTTCCCTGGGGCTTCACCCCTCTCTTCTTGAATCGCCGGATGCTCTCCCAGCTTCCGTCCGCGAGCATGTCGCCCAACCGGGCTGCCCTGTTTTTGCGGGCGGACTGGCGGACCTGGCGGCTGAGCTCTTTCTCCAGGGCGAATTGGTGCGATGTCCGGGCTTGGTTTCGCAGCTCAATCAAATCCAATGCACCCCTGCGGATCCAAGGCCTCTGTGCCTGAACTTGCCGGCTGTCTAGACAATTTCCGCCAGCTGATTCCAAACATCGGACAGCGTGTCGCGCATGGTCGTCGACGTCTGGCGGCGGAGGCCTCGCCGCGGCCGCCTCGACAAATGAGCCAACAAAGTGTTCTGCCACCGACGGCCGCTGCAGAGACGCCGGGCCCAATCTCTGACGGTGACCAGTCGGCTCCGTCTTTTGGATATCTACGTCGAGAGCTGCCTGGGCGAGAACATGGTGGGAAGCGAATGCAAGAGAGCGGTCCGATTTCACCGATCGAACCATATGTTGCCAACGATCGTCGGTAGTGAGATGATCGGTCTCTGCGAACTTCTTGCACGTGATTTCGCTCGTTGGGCCCGTGCCCAAGTCATTGTTCGCCACCTTTTTCCGCCAGAGGTCGACCCAGGAACGTGTTCGCAGCCGCCATGTTCAGCGCCATGCGCTGCTCGGCCAACCAATCCTCCTCCTCCTCCTCCTCCTCCTCCTCCTCCTCCTCCTCCTCCTCCTCCTCATGCTGGTTGCTCGTGGCGTCGGGGACGCACGCCGGGTCGCCGAAGGCGCGCGGGCCGACCACAGGCATCTCCTCGCAGGAGTTCGGCGGGGAGCGGGCGTTCACGTCACCGGGCGCGACGACTGGGCCACGCGGTTTGCAACGGACCACGGCCGCGCGCTAGTCCACAAAGAACGGATGCCGGATGTCGAACTCGCGAGCTGATTGTGGAGCATGCGCTGACACCAGAGCAAGCGACCCTTCCAGGCACACGGAGCTTCAGAGTAGCAGCGCGGTCGCTGAGCTGCGAGAAACCCATGACTGAGCGACGAAGCCATGGGGCGACCACAAAAACCTACTCCAGCATATTCTCGCTTCCCAGCCAAACCACCATATAACGTAATCAAGCATCCGTCCTGCACGAAGTACGGCGCTCCAGCTATGTAAAGTTTCTTGCAAGCACGTAACATCGATTCTTCTTTCCTTCATCATAACAATGACTTGCTCTAGCTTTGCGGAGTCCGCGTCGATGCCCAGGCCCTCGACGTTCCAAGTGGCAAAAGAACGCACTTCGCTAGGGCGGCACGGCTGCGACTGTTTGAAATGAAATGGCCTTCCGTGTTGAGGTACAACTTCTGTCGGCATGCACGGTGCATGACGGGCCCCCTGGGCGGTAATAGACAGCTCGCGTGGGCAATCGCGCTGCCGCTGTTGATCTGCGAACCGATGTACTGTCGTGACCTCTAGTAGGAGCCACCTGGTTCACCGCGAGCGCTGGCCGCGCTAGGCTGTCCGCCATTGTCCATCTTGCCCTTGCCCTTGCCCTTGTAGTTGGTGCCCTTCATGCCCTTCGAGGCCTTCTCGAGCAGCTCCGAAGATTCCGCGTGGATCTGCGGGTGGTCGTGGACGTCGGTCGGTCCACGTCTCCCACTCCCCCTGCCAGTCGCAATGCACCGTCTTGTCGTCAACCTTCGCAGTCAACGCGCGCTCGCCCCCTGCCGTCACGAAGTGCGGGGCGCACTCGCTGACGGAGATCGTGCGCGGAACCTCCCAGTGCTCCTTCAACACCCGCTTCAAGCCCAGACAGAAGTTGTGCGCAGCCCGTTCCGCCGGAGGGCGGTCCTGCGTGGCCCACACCTTCTTGTTGCCATTGGCGAGGGCTGCCACGCGTAAGAGGCCAACGGTACTGCCCCGAAGAGTCCGAGAGCAGAACTCTGAAAATAAGATACCCGAAAAATGACCTTTGGAGTACGTCTTCGTTGGGGATGGGTCGTTGAGGTACGAGAGCTTGTCCTGTAGCCACTTTGTGGCCGTCCTAAGGTCCCCGAGCCCATCCAAATTGCCGATGACCATGCCCACTGCCCGCGTGTCAATGGTCTCGAAGGTCTGGTCCGGCAAGCGCCCCTTGTTGAGGCCGCCGTCGTTGATCAAGTACTCTTGGATGCACTCGCGGACTTTTGCTTCGATGACTCACACATCACGATCTCGCCTTGGATGTCCGAACGATTTACTCTTGGCCGTCTGGGCCTGCCCGCCCGACCTGCCCGTGAGGGTCCGCCAGCCCGACTCGCCCCTTTAGTTCTGCCGCTTGTGCTCCTGCTCCTGACCCTCCTCCTGCAAATCTCTCTCGTGCTCCATCCTTTTCCCTGTCTCCTTGTCTCTTCACTCTCCCCCCCTCCTCCCCCTGTTTTGGGGCTGCGCCAACTATACGCGGCAGGTAAAGGATATACGAGTTGAATGGCACGCGAGCGGATAAGAGCGCACAGGCTTCGAATGATTGTTGTGGTTGTCATCGTCGTCGTCCCGCCCGCGACCCACACCGCGACTCACCCCGCGACCCATCTCGCGACCCACCCCGCGACCCACTCCGCGACCCACCCGCGACCCACCCCGCGACCCACCTCGCGCCCGCCCCCTCACTCTTCTCTGCAACTGCGGCGTGCTGCGTCTCCCTCTCTCTCTCTCTCTCTCTCTCTCTCTCCCCTGGGGAGGGCCGGCGCGCGCGGGGCCGGCGGCGGCCGCGGGCACGCCTGCGGCGGCTGCTGCGCGCTCGGCCGCGGAGACCGCCGCGGAGCGCTCGGCCGCGGAGGCCGCCGCGGAGCCCTCGGCCGCGGAGCGCTCGGCCGCGGAGGCTGCGGCGGGCTCGCCGGAGGCGGCGGTGTGCGCGCCAGCGGCCGCGGGCCTCGCTGAGGCGGCCGCGGTGGGCTCGTCGGAGGCGGTGGGCTCGCCGCCCGCGAGCTCGCCAGAGGCGTCAGGGGCAAGATTCGTCAGACCGAGGGCGAGTTGGAAACAGCGACACAGGTGGCTGTCGGGCGGGCTTCTCGTCGCCACGGCCGGAGGTAGCGCGGAAAACTGGCGCGTTTGGACCCCATGAGGGGTCCGGGGGCCGATTTTCAGTTGCCGCTATCTCAACTCGCCTTGCTCCGACTTGCGGAGGCGGCCGCGGTGGGCTCGCCAGAGGCCACGGTGTGCTCGAGCCCACCGCGGCCTCCGGCGACCGGCCCAACGGAGGCGTCAGACGGAGATCGACATGCTCGAAGATCGAGCCTTCTCGTAGGATCTCAGCAGTTTTCCAGCCTCGGGGCGCTCTCCAGCAGTTGCGCCTCCCCGAGAGCGTTTCGGGTGTGCCCTGACTGTCGCGAGCGGCCGCAAGAGACCCGAGTTATGACCCGAAAATGAGACGACGCGTCGACCTCCAATCGCCCACGGATCCCCGTGACGGGGCCCGATAGCACACCTCGCCCAGGAGCATACGGGCTCGCTATATCGGTGACATGTCTCGGGGGTGGACAGAACCCGCAACAGTGACACGTCGATTAGTGAAATGTCCTTTTTCGGTTCTCGAGAGGGCGCCGCGGCCGTTATTTTCCAGGCTCGCGCCTGCCAGGTTTGGGCCTCAGGTCGTTTTCACTAAACCACGTTTTACTAAAGGGAGGTCTGTCCATCCCCGAATGTCGCCGATCGGTCGGCGATGTATTTCGGGGAACAAGCAGTGACATTAACACAAAAACTCGGAGCCTGGCGCCCATCCGAGGAATCCGCGCGGACTTCCGCGTTGCTCTGTCTTCATGTCATTGTTTGGTCCCCGAGATCAGCTCGGCTGGTCGCTCCCGCGCGCTCATCCTGAAAGTCGTTCTGCGGTGAGTGCCCTCCTCCCACTCCTTCCCTCTACGGCCGGCCCTCCCTGGCCTGTCTTGCTCGTGCAGCCGGTCAATTAGTTTGCCGAGCGCCCCCGGCAGCTCGAACGCGCGAGCGGGTCGCCTCTGCCGCGCCGCGACGAAACAATGTTTCCCCGAGATCTGTCGGCGACGTACCGCCGATTCCAGTTACCCTTGCATCCTTCCCCTCCGGCCCATGCTTGGCCACTTTCGCTGGCCGCGCCCCGCTCGCAAAAGTGTCGACCTGGCCTTCCAAGGCCCTTTGCATCCTTATCGTGCGTCCTCATTTTGCGGGTTGACTGCATCGCCGACTCCAGGTCGATGTTCCCCCCCGAGAGGCGCCTCCCCCCCCCGCGTTCCCCCTCGAGGCGGCAGCGGCGGAGGAGCCAGGCGGGCGCGGGGCCTGGCATCTGCCGCCTCTCTGCGGGGGCGGGGCGCCTCGGAGGACCCCCGCGCCCTCTCGTCATGGAAAGACCACGGCGACGCAGTGATTTTTCCAAACGATTCGACGCCATTCCGATTCTGGTCCAGCCTCGCGAGTCGATGCTGGTCCTTATTGCGACGGACAGTTTTTGACACGTCTCGGCTTCCAGGGGTCCTCACTGGTCTCAGGGCCGTTCAGGATGAGAGGCTGGCCTCTGGAGGGGTCCAGGCCTCCCAGGGGGGCCACGTGGAGAAAGAATCACAGCGTCGGGGTCCTGGGCGGGAGGAGCGAGGAAGTGCAAACATTAATGAATTGAGGCGCATGGATTAGGTGCCCACGCGCCAGATCCGCGGATCAATAATCCATGTTAGCGTGCGCCCGTCAGGAGGAGGAGGAGGATGACGAGGAGGAGGAGGAGGAGGAGGAGGAGGAGGAGGAGGAGGAGGAGTAAGACGAGTCATCGTAGTGACGGAGCGTCCTGGTCTGCTCATGTGCCCCCTTAGAAATACCCGAGTAACACTTACTTCTGGCGTTTGGTCCGACATGTGATTAGAACATGTCTGGCTGGGACAGTTTTGGTTCAAGAAGTCTGTTATTCGATCGCTTCGCTCATTCCGCCGGCCCATTTTTTTTGCACTGCTGCGTCGACTGGCCGAGTGTTTGTTGGCGGTGTTGAGCTGCAGGGGCGTCGGCTGTGTTCTGAGGCGTTGCGTGGGGCATGATGCTGGGGCGATTCGTCTGGATTTCTTGGGAGTTGTCAGGGGAATCGGTCGCTTTTCACGAGGCGGCCAGTTGTGTGGTGCTTTGTTGGACTTCGGGTGCCTTCGTGGGGGTTGGATGCTCACTCTAGGGCTTGTCGATGGGGCGCAGGGGACATTTGATGCGGCGGTGTTAGGGTCTCCTGGCAGGTGTCTCGGGAGCCTTTTAGAGGCATTTGTGAAGTTTCTTGAGGCCTCGTCAGGGCCGTTTGGTTGCCCTGGGGGCTTGATGTTGGGCCTCTCGAGGGCTTCTTGGGACTTCTGGGTGCTTGTTGGGAGCCTGCTGGCGGTCTCGGAGGGGCCCCTGGGGTCGGAAATCTTCAAATGTCATTTCGAGGTTCCTCTCTTGGGGCGTCTTGGGCAGTCTTGGACGCTGTGAACCTCCGAACGTCGTCTATGCCAGAAATGCACGTTTTCCGACGGAAATAGGACGATGTTTGCTTGTTGGGGCCCTTTTGGATGGCCTTTTGAGGCTCTCTTGGAGCTTCTCGGCGGCGTCTAGGGCCGTCTGGAGACCAGCATGCGTGTCTTGGAGCAATCTTTCGGCGACTCGGGGCCCCTTGGACCGCCTCGGGGGCGTCTCGGAGCCTTCTTGGCGCGTTCCTGGGGCGCTCTGGGAGGCTTGGAGGGCAGCCCTCTTGGGCCGTCTTGGAGCCCTGTTGGGCGCATCTTGGGGGCATGTTGGGCCATCTTGGGGCGATCTCGGGAGGCTCTTGGGCAGTCTTGGACGCTGTGAGCCTCCGAACGTCGTCTATGCCAGAAATGCACGTTTTCCGACGGAAATAGGACGATGTTTGCTTGTTGGGGCCCTTTTGGATGGCCTTTTGAGGCTCTCTTGGAGCTTCTCGGCGGCGCCTAGGGCCGTCTGGAGACCAGCATGGGCATCTTGGAGCAATCTTTCGGCGACTCGGGGCCCTTTGGACCGTCTCGGGGGCGTCTCGGAGCCTTCTTGGCGCGTTCCTGGAGCGCTCTGGGAGGCTTGGAAGGCAGCGCCGAGGAGGAATATCATCTTTGAGCCGCACTGGCCGGGACCTGCTCGGGATATTTTTGGTCCGGGAGCCCCCAGAAGCCGCCCCGCGCGCGCGAACCAGAATACACTGTTAACCAGTTACTGGAGATCTTAGCACGCCTCTGGCCCGGTGGGTCGGCGAATTTGCTCTAGGACCAGACTTTATGCACCAAGAGAACTCCGTGGTAGGCCTGAAGGATTGCTCGGGCCGTCGGTCCCTGCTCCAAGGAAGGGGCGCCAACCATTCATCTACATCGGCCTTGGTCGGGCCGATCCTGGGCTGAGGATCGGTGCATGCGCTCTCCTCGACAGAGCGAGGATGAGGTGTAGCAGGAATGAGGGAGGGAGGGAGGACTGGAGCGATCACGGTCGGACCGAGGTACAAGATCGACGTCGGCTCGGGGAGGGTACCCTGGTGTTCTTCTTGTTTGTTGGATGTTCTCGTGCATCCTTGGGGGGGGGGTACGCTTGGATGGTCTGCTTGTTTTGGCCGACGGAGGTTCTCCTGTTTTTGAGGGGTGTTCGTCTGGCCCGGATCCGACTGTAGCAAGTGGGGCGGCTGTCAGGAGGGTAAGAAGGCAGGAGAGCGGCGGGAGAGCGGCGGGCGGGGGGAGGAACACGGGCAGCCAGAGGGGCGAGAGGTGAGGGGCAGCGTCCAACAGCAGGAGGAGGGGCTCTGGTCTGTGACTGCGTGGGTCCGAAGGCCCAGGCCCAGCAGGGGAAGAGGGGCCGACGAACGAGCCAGAGCGACTGCCACGCGAAGGGCCCAGGAAAACGACAGGTGACGACCGACGCTCCACCGACCAGACCAACCCGCTCAACGCAAAGCAGAAGCTGCCGAGCCGCGTCTGCCGCGCCGCATCCTGTGCGCTGCGGTGCCAGGCGACTGAAGGCTCTCTGGTGCAGCAGCGTCGAGACCACTGTTGGACTTCTTCTTCTTCTTCTTCTTCTTCTTCTTCTTGCTCTTCTTGCCCATGAAACCCATTACAGTCGCATGCCTGGACGAGCTCATCCGTTACCTTCGTCATTGCCCTTACGATGGCAGGGGCATGCTGCAGGGCGTCCTCGAGGAAGGGGCTTCCACGATGATCCAGAAGATCGCCAGGCACTCCGCCATTGCCCCTGCCGATCCGTGAAGCAGCCACAACTGCAGCCCACGGGTCAGAGTCACCAGGCAGGTACCAGCGAGCGCGCGAGGACATGCCTCAGGGCCTGCTGTTCACCTGGAGGCTCGGGTGGGCCGGCACCCCGAGCTCGGGGGTCCGAGCCCTGTGGCCGTTCAGACAGAAGCGCGCTCGGGTTTCGAGGAGGCGGGGGAGGAGGAGGCCGAGAAGGAGGTAGGAGAGGAGCACGGGTCAGCAGCAGGAGGGGGAGGTAGGATGAGCAGGAGGTGCAGCAAGAGGATAATGAGAAGGACGAGAATGAGGATGTGGAGCAGAGGGGGTAGTGAACTTGCATGGGCAGGAGGATGAGGATGCGGGGCAGGACGAGGAAGGAGGAAGAGGGAGCACAGTGAGGCGGTGGGAGTGGCTATTAGGATAGATGGAGTCGTGTTGGCATGCCAATGGGCCCAACTCGGTGTCACACCAGCCCCATTGGGCTCCCGAGAGGGTTCTCATTGCCAACGAGGGTGTGTGGCTGCCGCAAGTTTGCAACGCTACACATTGACGCGGACATGTGAAGGACCTGCAGCAGTTCTAGCAGGTAGTTGGTGATGGCACGCAGAGCAATGACCGCCCCAGTACGGTGCCACTAGCACTGGTCTTGCAGAAACAGCAGAAGTGGCACCAGGATGAGCAGAAGTGGCAGCAGCGGGGGGGAGCGGAAGCGGAAGAGGAGGAGGTGGTGGGTCGAGGATCGAGGATCGAGGCACCTCGCATCGATGGAGGTCGAGGATCGAGGGCCGAGGAGGAGCGAGCGTCGAGGAGGCAGCCTCGCCCCTCTCGCTCCCGCCTGCCCTCAGCCCGCCCTCCGGCGCAGCGCGCTCTCCTCTCCGGTCGCCGGGCGGCCGCGCGGAGAGGCGGCCGCCCACTGCAGCCCCCCGTGCGGTGCGCCTCCTCCGAGAGGCGCGCGCGCGCGAGCCACCGCCCGCGCCCCGCCCCGCCCCGCTCTCGGCCAATCGGTGGGCTGGGATCGGCGGCGAGCTTTTGCTCGGCGGCGAGCGGCCCAGACCCCCTCGGGTCCTGAGGGAATCACGGCGGAAGGTTTTTCGGTATGCTCGGTTTCCATAGGCCCTCGCCGGGCCTCGGGGCCGTCAAAAAACAACTCGGGATGAAAAACCGGTCCCGGGGAACGGGCCGAGAACTTCGGGGGTCGACGTCACGAAACAATCATGATGTCGGGGGTCTGGGGAAGGGGGGAAGTGAGAAGGAGAAGGCCTTCTCGGAAGGCGGTGGGACTTCTCAGAAGGCCAGAGGCCTTCTGACAGGTTTGTTTTGTGTCTTCGGGGCAGGTTTAGAGAACTTCTCAGAAGCCTGGGGGACTTCCAAGCTTTCTGCGGAGGACCGCCCCTTCTCACTTCCCCCCCTGGGCTCGCCGCCGACAATCTGGCAGCTAGGGGCGAGATTGAGGATGCGGGTGGGGGTTGAGGGTGCGGACGATGGTCGTGACGCTGGGTATGGTAAAATGATGGTGGAAGGTGACAATGGTGGCGGTGCCAACGGGATAGTCCGAAGAAGAAACAACAGCAAAACCATAAGCTGTCGGGGATTTGCGCGGATTTCTTGGATCTGCGAAGGAGCCCGCTGGCGGTGCCTCCGTCGCCGCCCCTGGCGCGCTCCGCGCATCCAAGAATCCGCGCGGAGCTCCGACAGCGTATGTTTATGCCGTTTGTGACTCTTCTAATCGAGGGTGCGGATGGTGATCGTCAGGCTGGCTATGATGGAAGATGGTGGTGGTGGTGATGATGTTGGGGGGGGCCCATGGGGATGATCTGGCAGACGGTCAATCTGGCGGTAATTTCGTTGTTGGTGATGATAATAGTGGTGAAGATGATGGTCTGCATGAGAAGGAGCACGATCTGGATAAGGTGCAGAAGCCGGATGTGGTGATGATGGGCAGGTTGTTCATCATGATCGTGGCGATTGCTTTGGCTCCGGAGAAGCCACGCCGTCCATTCCAGGCCGGGCCGGGCCGGCCCGGGCCAGGCTTGGCGGGAAACCAGCGGTCCGGGCCCTGAAGAATTTACAATCCAAGCTGCAGCAGTAGCACAGAGCTGCAGCAGCAACACAGCTATGAGGCTTGGGGCATTCCACTTCGTGCCAAAGGCACGGTGGCGGATATGTATGATAGATGGATATACATATAGGTTGATACATGGTTGTCCACATTGTGGTCCCGATGGTTGTCCCGATGGTTTCCCGATGCCTATCCTGACGGTTGCCCCGATGGTTGTCCCGACGGCTGCCCTGATATATGTCTAGATTGAAATAGGTAGGTCTGGATACTTGTTCCGTTGGTTGTCGCTTTTCATATAGGTGTATATACATTCCCATATGGGAGATCCCGGCCCTGGGACCCTTTTCCGTTGGGATGCTCAGGGACTATGCCCAAATCATTTACAGCGTGAATTTCGATTTGTCGAGTGGCGGTATTGTTCTGGCCATTTGGTTCGAGTTATCCCGGTCAACGTCGCTTGGTGACAATGGCGGCAGCATCGTGGTGGATGTGTATGGGTATGGACAAGCAGGGGCGAGTTGGAGCAACATCTGCTTCGGAGCACGTGACAATTCTTATTGCTCCTTCACCCTCTCGTCAAGCATGTCGGTGGAGAGCGTGATGCTGACATACGTCAGCGGGTCTGTCTACAACTCTGGTAGCGCGTCCGTCACGAACTGGGGTAACCCAGGACGGTTCGGGGTGTTCATGACGGCTGCGAGCAACAACCAAGTCCTTCCCGACTGCAGCAACAACGGGTGTACCGTTACAACGGAGGCACCCAAGCCGGTCGAGGATGCCCCCAAGAGGCTCCAAGAAACACCTAAGAAGCCACAAGAGGCCCCCAAGAGATTTGAAAAAACACCAAAAGAGGCCCAGAAACAGCCCCCAATGGGCCCCCCAAAACGGCCCAAGAGCCCCAGGGCGCGCCCAAGAGGGTCGACCAGATAGCTGGTCCGACTTCCCAAACTCTACGCAGGGTCAGTCCCCGGCGATACCTCAAGCAGGTGTTGCCACTGGAGTCCTCATTTGCCAGAGAAGCTCCAAATATTTTTTCGCACAGCGATTCCTGTGTCTGCGACGCGCTAGAACCTAAGCGCGCGCGAAGCGCGCGTGGTTCTTCGGGGGGGTTCTGGGGAGATCTGGAATATTTGGAAAATCTGGAAAACAAAGAAGTTTTTCACCAGGGTAGTCTCTGGGGTGATCTGGAACATCTGGGAAACACAAAGTTTTTCACCAGGGTAGTCTCTGGGGAGATCTGGAAAATTTGGGAAATCTAGAAACACACATGGTTTTTCACTAGGGGAGTCTCTGGGGAGATCTGGAATCTTTGGAAAGTCTGGAAAACAAGCGGCTTTCCACCAGGGTAATCCCCGGGGAGATTTGGAGAATCTGGAAAATCTGCGCAACCCGACCAGTAAGACTATCCAAACACCGGCGCCAGCACCGGCGCCAACATATTTTTTTGTGCCCACTCCAGCACCAACAACGCCAGCACCTACACCAGCGCCGACATCAGTATCGACGCCGACGCCTACCCCAGCGCCGACACCAGCATCGAGGCCGGCACCGATTTCGACGTGCTGGCCCACCCGCTATCATATCTCCTACTTAGCCTACCGGTTTTGGCGTGCCGGCCCATCCGCTATCCGAGGCCCAGCCTTACGCGTCAGTTTGGGCGCGCCAGCTTCGGATCGCCTGCAACGGCACCAGCGCCAGCACCGACGCCAGCACGGACTTATAAGCAGCACGACGGGTATCCCGAGCAGGACGCCAGAGACAATGAGCCTTACGACGAACACCGTACAGCACGAAGGCTACCATGAGCCTCCATGAGCAGCACGGCGCAGACCACGGGCAGCACGACGAATCCAACCAGTTGCGCGACGAGAGCCACGAGTAGCCACTTGTCCATGCTTTCTGCTATCTGCACTCGCGGACTCGTACGCCCGTCCCATGCTGCCTACTCCATTATCACAGGCTCCATGCTGCCTGCCATGGCGGAGTCGGGCAGCAGATCAGGTTCTGACTCCAGGTCCGACTCCAATCCCGACTCTGGCTCCAGCTGCGGCGCCGATGTGGTGGCCCATCAACAACTCCCACTGCCACCAACCCCGCCATCTGCACCACGACCACCACCACCACCACCACCACCACCACCACCACCACCACCACCACCACAACCACAACCACGACCATCAACGCCACGACTACGACCCTGCAGCGACGTGGCCCTCACTCCGACGGTCACCACCTACGCTCTGGCGGCCGACGTCGGCTCCGTGCTTTGGGTAGCGCGGGCGCGGGCGGCACATCCAGATCGCCGTCGCGCCCGCCCCTTGCAGGTCACACTCCCCCCACTCGTTCGTGTGTTTGGCCCTTCTGGCATGATCTGCCAGCGCTCGAACCGCTCCACTGAGCCAGAAGAGGACGAGGTACGAGGGCGAGGGCGAGGGTAGGGGGAGGAGGAAGAGGAGGAGGAGAAGGAGGAGGAGGAGGAAGAGGAAGAGGAGGAGGAGGATGAGAATGAGGAGCGGAGGAAGGGGGAGAGGGAGGAGTCGCCAACGGCCACAGCGCAGACGCGCGCACTGGCCGCTAGCGTCAGCGTCAGCGTCAGCGCACAGTCGGGCCGCAGGGAAACATGGAAGCCTCCGGTTCAAATTCTTGCTCGCCCCCCTTCTTCCATTGTGGGAAGGGGAGGGAGGAGCGAAGGGAGCACGTGTAGAGACCTGGAGGAGGGAGGGAGGAGGCGGACATAGGGAGTTGCCCTCTCTTGCTCGCTTCGTCTTCGAGGCCCTTCAGGGCACTCTCTTGCAGGCTCCCCGTGTGCGCTGTCACATCCTTTCCTCCGGGGCGCCCTCGCGCGCAGAGGCCGCCGTACAGCCGCAAGCCCGCCCCGCCGCCCATCGTGACGGGCTATGACGACAACGTCCGGGACTCACGAGGCGGCGAAGCGCGGGGGGAGCAGCGCCCAGGTTGCGGTATCTCCTCGGCGCCCTTGCAACAATGGGGGCCGCCACGCTGCGAGAGCATGCGCCCTGTCTCAGGCGGGTGGGAGTTCTATCTTAAAGCTTGTTTTCGTTGGGGGGATGGGCGGGACTGGTTGTAATGGGTGCCACCAGGCATCAGGGGTGGCGATGGTGCGGCGGTGATGGGAATGCTGGCGGGTAGTGTCAGGTACCCGCGCAGACGGCTTCGGGTGTGGCGTCTAATTGAGCGTATCAATCGCAGTCGTTCAGCTGGCAACTTATGGGAACTTCCGTAAACCGTCTGGATTACGGAGGAGGCTGGGGCAGAGACATATCAGTGTGCTGGGGCCTTCACACAAGAGTCAGTGATGCTTGTTCGAGGAGAAGTGTTGCAGAACGCTGCAGAAGACGCCGGGGACATTGAGGGAACCGCGTCGGACACCGCTCGTCTATGAATCTCGTCGACATGCTTGGCCATAATAGTGACCAATTCGTGTTTGCCAGCTTGCATCCCAACCGTTCAGGTATTACAACTTGGTTGTGTTAACTCTGTGGTGCATGCTAGGTTGTGCAAGCTGGTTGGCGCAAGTGGGGTCTTAGAAGTGCCAAAATTGTGGTGCAATCCATGTTGTGCAAGCTGCGCGGCGCTAGTGGAATCTCCGTCGTGGTGCAGGCTATATATCGAGCAGGGTCTGCGGTGCAAGCTCTGTAGGCGGCCACAATGCGCCCAAGGTAAGCGACCGAGCGAAAATCCAGGGACCCCAGTCTGCGCACGAGGACCCAGCGCACCTAGAATCCATTTCCTTAGTGGGAATGTTTGGGACATAATTGTTCCCAACATGAAATGTGGATTGCCCTCAAGACCCCCCGCCGCCCGGGAGCTTCCGATACCGCCCGCCAGGCCCACTCGGCCTCAGAGAGTTTTAGAGGGGGCCGATAACTTGACCCCCTGATCCTCAAGATTTTGTGTACACCCCGCCCCGAGCAGATTTCACCGCCCCGGGGCCACGTCTAGTATACAAAAGCCACGCCCCAGGGAGGGAATTCGGTAGCCCAAACCCACGACTAGGACCCTCGCCCACGCCCCATTTATACATTTTGTCGGGCGGGCCCCATGCCATCGGATGCCATCGTCGCCGCTGACTCACCTCCACCACCAGCTTCTACTGTCCATGATATGCACCGTCCTCATGTTCATTGTTGGCATCGTGCGCGCGGCCCTCCAGCGAAAGCCGCAGTCTCAGAGCCGCCCGCCCGCCACCCGTGCAGCCCTCGGCCGGCTCGCTTATGACGAGTGCGCGGAGCGCCAAGAGCACCACGTTTTGGAAACGGCCTGCGTAGGACACTTCGAAGTCCCAAGCTTCCCGGTCGGGCGCTACGGACTGGAAGGGGGCGACGCACGAGTGGGGTGAAGAAAGATGCCGCCCTGGGGCCCCAAAGAAGGGCGAAAGGCGAAAGGTGCACGGTTCTCCGCCCCTTTTTCTTCGCCCCCCATAGAACAACGCCCAAGAACGTTTCGGGCGAGATTCCCGTCTCGCCCGTCCGACATGGTTTTGGTGCTCGAGGAGGAGGAGCCGAGGAAGAAACAACGGCATAAGGCATTTCCAGAGCGCGGAGGTGGGCCCTCCTTGCGTTCTCCACGCGCCAGGGAGGGGGCCCAGCGCCGATCCAAGAAATTCGTGCGAACCTCCGGAAGTTAATCTTTATACAGTGTTTGCTTCGTCCCAGGAAGACGAGGGAGGAAGACCAGGAGAAGCACCAGGGGGACGGGCCGAGGGTTACGATGACGAGCAAGGGGTTGGAGGAGGAGGAAGGGGAAGGCCCCACAGAACAGCCTGACCCCTCCCGAAAACCTCTTGACCAGCAGAGAGAGAGAGAGAGAGAGAGAGAGAGAATATGTGTATATATATATATATATCTGTTTTAGCGACGAGCTGGAGCTTCCTCCTCCTCGTCCTCTTCCTCCCCGCGCGAGCCACCTCGTCATCGCCGCCGCCGCCGTCGGTCGCGTCGATGCGGGTGGTCCGTCGGCCGTCCGTCGTGCCACCGCCGCCGTGGGCGCCACTCTTCTCGAAACCGTACTGGTCTCGACCGTGCTGCCCAGGGCCGCGCCGTGGTCACTTGAGACGTATTGCTGGACAACGGGGCACTGGAAGTCCAGGTGGTGAACTACGCTGTTGTGCAGCTGGACGCGCTCGAACTAGCCGTCGTGCTGCTGGTGCCGCTCGTACAAACCGTCGGAGTACTCATCTCGGTCAGCGTGGTATTGAATGTCCCTGACGTGTCCGTCAGCGTCGCACTGCTGCGGCTCACCTTGGAATTGACCGATGTGGTGCTGCTCGATAGTGTCGCAATCGAGGTCGTGCAGCTCGCAGCTGCGCTGCTCATCGCGACCACGCTCGTGCGGGCTGCTCAATGTAGTTGTGAAAGTGGCCGTGGACGTCGCGCTGCTCGAGGTCGTACTGGTCGCGACCGTGCTGCTCGAGGTCGCCTTGCGGTCAGCTGAGGCGTACTGCGAGACAACGGTGCACTGGGGGTCGAGGTGGTGGACGATGCAGTTGCGTTGCTGGTCACGCGTGGTGTTGCGTGACCTTGTCGTATCCGCCAGCGACGTGCCGCTGCTCAAAGTATAGATGGCCGGCATGGTGCTGCTCGATGGCGTCGGGCATGGTGCTGCTCGATGGTGTCGCGTTCGAACACGCGCTGCTCGACTTGTGCTGCTCGCTTCAACCTTGCGCGCGCTGTTGCTCTTTGTCGTCGTGGATCTCGCCGAGGAGGTGAATGTGGATGTCGTGTTGCTCGAGGCTGTGCTGTGCGTGTCCGTGCTGCTCGATGGCGCGCCGCTGATCGCCTGCGACATCCTGCTAGACGAGATGCACTGGAGGCCACGGTGGTGGGCAATGCAGTTGTGCGGCAGGTCACGCCCGAGCAGGCCGTCGTGCTGTTGGAGCCGCTCGTACTGGCCGTCAGAGAGCTCGTCCCGGGCCGCGTGGTATTGAATGCCCCTGTCGTGTCCGCCAGCGTTGTGCCGCCGATCTCCGCGGTGCTGGCCAGCGTGGTGCTGCTCGACCGTGTCCCGCGCGAAGTCGTGCAGCTCGAAGTTGCGCTGCTCGTCGCGACCACGCACGCGGTGCTGCTCAATGTCGTTGTGGGAGTGGCTATGGGCGTCGCACTGCTCAAGACCCTACTGGTCGTGACCGTGCTGCCCGAGGTCGCACTGTTGGTCGTCTGAAGCGTACTGCTAGACAACGAAGCACTGGAAGCAGGGTGGTGGAGGATGCAGTTGTGCTGCTGGCCACGCTCGAGTAGGCAGTCGACCCATGGTGCCGCTCGTGCTAGCCGTCGAGGACGCGTCTCGGCCAGCGTGGCATGAATGACCTTGTCGTGTCCGTCCGCGTCGTGCCAGTGCTCGCCGTGGTGCTGGCCGGGCGGTGCTGCTTGACTGTGTCGCGCTCGAAGTCGTGCTGCTAGACGTTGCGCTGCCCAACTCGTCCAAGCTCACGCTGCGGCTCAATGGCGACGTGGAGCTCACCGTGGAAGTGGCCGTGGACGTCCCACTAGACGAGACCGTACTGGTTGTGACCGTGCAGCTCGATGTCGCTCTGTTGGTCATGTGATACGTACTGCAAGACATCGGTGCACTGGGAGTCCAGCTGCGGACAATGCAGTTGTGTTGCTGGATGCGCTCGAGCTCGCCGCCGTGCTGCTCGTGCCGCTCGTGGTGGCCATAGAAGAGCGCGTCTCGCTCAGCGTGGGATTGAGTGACCCTGTCTTTTCCGTCAGCGTCGTGCCGCTGTTCGCCGTAGTGCCGGCTGGCGTGGTGCTCCTCGATTGTGTCTCACACGAACTCGTGCTGCTGGACGTTGCGCTGCTCGTCTCGACTCCGATCGCGCTGCTGCTGTGTGGCGCCGTGGGGCCCGTCGCGGAAGTGGCTGTGGACGTCCATGCTCGAGGCCGTGCGGGTCGTGACCGTGCTGCTCGAGGTTTCATTGCTGGTCGTCTGAGACGTACTGCAAGACAACGGTGCGCTGGAGGTCCAGGTGCTGGACGATGCAGTTGTTGCTGGTCACGCCCGAACTAGCCGTCGTGCTGCTGGTGCCGCCCGTACTAGTCGTTGCCGTACTCGTCTCGGTCGCCGTGGTATGGAATGACCTTGACGCATCCGTCAGCGTCGTGTCGCTGCTCACCAGAGTGCTGGCAGGCGTGGTACTGCTAGACTGTGTCGCACCCGAAGTCGTGCGGCACGACGTTGCGTTGCTCGTCGCGCCACGCACACGCAGCAGCACGATGTCGTTGTGGGCCGTTGACGGCACGCTCCTCTCGGCCGTCCTGGTCATGACCGTGCTGCTCGAGGACGCACTGCTGGTCGTCTGAGGCGTGCTGCTAGGCGACGATGCACGGGTCAAGGTGGTGGGCGATGCAGTTGTGCTGGCCGTCGTTCCTCTGGTACCGCTAAGACTAGCCGAGGAGCTCGTCACGGTCCGCTTGGTCTGAATGACCTTGTCGTATACGTCACGTCGTGCCGCTACTCATCGTTGTGCAGGCAGCCGTTGGGCTGTTCGATAGTGTCGCACTCGAAAACGTATTTCTCGACATTGTGCTGCACGTTTCAACCTCGTTCACGCTGCTGCTCACTGTCGTCGTGGAGCTCACCGTGGAGGTGACTGTGGAGGTCGCATAGCTCGAGTCCGTGCTGGCCGTGGCCGTGCTTCTCGAGGGCGCACTGGCGATCGCCTGAGACGTGCTGCAAGACAGCGATGCACTGGAAGTCGAGGTGGTGGGTAATGTAGTTGCGCGGCGGGTCGCGCTCGAGCTGGCCGTCGCGCCGCGGGAGCCGCTCGCACTCGCCGTCGACAACCTCGTCCCGGGCGGCGCGGTAGTGAATGACCCTGTCGATGCCGTCAGCGTCGTGCCGCTGCTCTCCGTAGTGCTGGCCGGCGTGGTGCTGCTCGACTGTGTCGCACTGGACATCGTGCTGCTCGACGCGCGCTGCTCGCCGCGTCCACGCTCGCGGTGCTGCTCGCCGTCGTCGTGGGGCCCGCCGTGGAGGGCCGTGAACGTCGCGCTGCGCGTGGGCGTGCTGGTTGCGACCCTGCTGCTCGGGTCGCGCTGCCGGTCGTCTGAGGCGTGCTGCAGGCAGCGATGCAGGGGGGCCAGGGTGGTGGACGCTGCCGTTGTGCTGCTGGTCACATTCGAGCTGGCCGTCGTGCTGCTGGGGCTGCTCGTACTGCGGCCACAAGACTGTGCTGGTCGTGACCGTGCTGCTCGAGGTCGCTCTGTTGGTCGTCCGTGGTGTGCTGCAGACGACGATGCACGGGGCGCCCGGTGGTGGACGATGCAGTTGTGCTGCTGGTCACGCTCGAGCAAGCCGTTGGAGCGACTGACGGCCGCGCAGCATTTGAGACGCGCAGGGGGCGGGCGCGGAGGGCGGGGGCCAGGGGGCGGGCGGGGGGCGGACAGGGGGAAAGCGGCAGATCGCCGCGAAGTGGAGCAGCGTAACCGTGGGGGACGGGGGCCAAGGGGCGGGCGGGGGGCGGCTGGGGGGATGCGGCGGGCAGACGCGGAATGGAACGTGGAAAGGGCACCGCGCTGGAGGAGCAGAGGAAAATGTTGGGAGGGGGCGATTGACGGCCGCGTGGTGGTAAGGGAGCAACCCTGATGGGGCGGGCGAGGTGAGAGGCGCCTGACAGTCGTGCGATGGGGGAACGGCGCGCCGACGCCGTCGTCACGGGGGTGGAGGCAAACGGCCGCGTTTTCGACGTCAAGGGCCCGACCTCGCCCGAGAGCAATCCCACTCTACAGTGTGCGGCCTCTTCCGGCGCCTACGAGATCCCGGCCATCTCGCGGCGGAAAGCGCGCGTGGTGCCAGGGGCAGCGTTGCTTGGCAAAGGCGTGCCAGGCGGCTGTGAACGACGAACCCAGGGTGACCTGCAGGTGCCTGATCGTCTCGTTTGGTGACTCCCTGTGGGGTTCCCATTGGGAGTCGTGGACCCGGGCTTTCTAGAGCAGCCTTCCAGTGTTGGAGTCCCGTTGTCCTGGCTGCTGGCGATCGGCGAAAAGACTGGGCGTCCACCCGCTTCCCATCCGACGCGCCACGGATGCGCCCCGGTCGGGTTGCCGGCCCGCCTCGGCGGTCGAGATCACATCCTCACCAGAAGGGGGGGTCTGGCGCGCTTTGCGGGGATGCAGGGGTTGCCCCGTGTCTGCTCGTCGAGGCGCCCGCCCGCGTCGAGTCGCTCGCAGGGGAAGGAGGACGAATAGGGGCGAAAGGGCTCCTGGAAACCAATGGCTTCGCTGTCCCGCTCGTCCGGGAAAGGAGGGCGCGTGGGCGCTGTGGGACTTCTCAGTGCCGTCTGATGGCTTCACTGTCGGGCTGGCCGTCGGTTTGGCCGTCGGACTGGCCGCGGGGCTGGCCGTGGGACTGGGCGTCAGGCAAGGCCCACGAGAGAGTGTTGGTTAGGGCGTCAGGTTGGGCGTCGGGAGCGGTGTCGGGTGAGGCGTCAGACTGGTCGTGGGGCTGGCCGTGGAGCTGGCCATGGGACTGGCCGTGGGGCTGGCTGTCGGGCTGGCCGTGGGGCTGGCCGTCGGGCTGGCAGTCGGGCTGGCCGTCGGACTAGTCGCGGGGCTGGCAGTCGGGCTGGCCGTTGGGCTGGCGGTCGGGCTGGCCGTGAGACCGGCCGTGGGGCTGGCTGTAGGGGTGGTCGCGGGGCTGGCCGTCGGGCTGGAAGTGGGGCTGGCCGTCAGAATGGCCGCAGGGCTGGCCAAGGGGCTGGCGGTCAGGCTGGTCGTCAGGCGGGCCTTTGGGCTGGCAGCCGGCCAGGCCGTGGGGCTGGCAGTCGGGCTGGTCGTCGGGCTGGCCGTCGGGCTGGCCGTGGGGCAGGCCGTCGGGCTGGCCGTGGGACCAGCCGTGGGACTGGCCGTGGGGCTGGCCTTGGGGCTGGCCACGGGATTGAGTCGGGCTGGCCGTGGGGGTGCCGGTCGGGCTGGCCGTGGGGCTGGCCGTGGGGCTGGCCGTGGGACTGGCCGTGGGGCTGGAAGTCGGGCTGCCCGTGGGATTGGCCGTGGAGCTGCTCGTGTGGGTGGCCGTGGGGGTGGCCGTGGGGCTGGAAGTCGGGCTGGCCGTGGGGCCGGCCGTGGGGCTGGCAGTCGGGCTGGCCGTCAGGCTGGCCGTGGGCCTGGCTGTCGGGTTGGCCGGAGGGCTGGCCGTGGGGCCAGCAGTCGGGCTTGCCGTGGGTCTGGCCGTGGGGCTGGCTGTCAGGCTGGCCGTCGGGCTGGCCGTCCGGCTGGCCATGGGGCTGGCCGGGATGGCCGTGGGCTTGGCCGTGGGGTTGGCAGTCGAGCTGGCCGTCGGGCCGGCCGTGGAGCTGGCCGTGGGGCTGGCCGTGGGGCTGGCCGTGGGGCTGGCAGTCGGGCTGGGCTGGCCACGGGGCGGGCCAACGGGCTGCCGTCAGGCGGGCCGTGGGGCTGACAGCCGGCCAGGCCGTGGGGCTGGCAGTCGGGCTGGCCGTCGGGCTGGCCGCCAGGCTGGCCGTGGGGCTGGCCGTTGGGCTGGCAGTCGGGCTGGCCGCGGGGCAGGCAGTCGGGCTGGCCGTCGGGCTGGCCGTGGGGCTGGCAGTCGGGTTGGCCGTGGGGCTGGCCGTTGGGCTGGCAGTCGGGCTGGAAGTCGGGCTGGCCGTGGGGCCGGCCGTGGGGCTGGCAGTCGGGCTGGCCATGGGGCCGTCCGGCTGGCCGCGGGGCTGGCCAGGCTGGCCGTGGGACCGGCCGTGGGGCTGGCAGTCGGGCTCGCCGTCGGGCTGGCCGTTGGGCTGGCAGTCGGGCTGGCCGTCGGGCTGGCCGTGGGGCTGGCGGTCGGGTTGGCCGTGGGGTTGGCCGTGGGGCTGGTAGCCGGCTGGCCGTGGTGCTGGCCGCCGGGCTGGCCGCGGGGCTGGCAGTCAGGCTGGCCACCCGGCTGGCCGTACGATCAGGGGCGGCAGGACGCATGCAGTTGCGCAGCCTCTTCGGGAAAACAAGGATCACAAAGAGCTTTCCGCATGGAAGTTTAAAATGTAAATCGGTGCAAGCTACGACGATGCTTCCATGGGGGTGAGGGGTGTTTCGATGACTTGTAATGGCTGTTGCACTGATTTGTATCTTAAGCTCGCGTGCGTTTCGGAACTTGGAGCCATTTTGGGGCTCTCTTGGGGTTCTCTCGGGGCCCTCTTGGGGTCCTCCTGGAGCTCGCTCTTGGGCCCCCTTGAGGTCCTCGTAGGGCCTTCTTGGAGCCCTCTTGGGGCTCTTTTGGGGCGTCTTGGGGCCCTCTTGGGCTCTTTTGGGGGGTCTGGGGGCCTTCCTGGGGCTCTTTTGGATGCCAGAGGGGGTCCTTAATTCCTGCTCTCCCCTCGGAGGCTCAAAAATGCCGTCTCGGGGCCCTCTTGGGCCGCTCTTGGAGCGCTCTTGGGCGCTCTTTGGGCCGTCACTTGGGGCCCTCTTGGACCCCTCTTGGGGATATCTTGGGCCGTCTTGGGGCCATCTTGAGGCCTCAAGAGCCCACCGGCGGCCAAACCGCTGCTGCTGCCGCTGCCGCCGCCGCTGCCAGCTCCTCGCTGGCGGCGGCGGCAGCGGAGGGCGCGGTGGCCGGCGCCGCCGCGGCGGCGCGCGGCCTGCCCAACGGCCAGCCGCCTGGCGGCCAGCCCCCCCGGTCAGCCCGACTGCCAGCCCCACGGCCAGCCCCGCGGCCAGCTTGGCGGCAAGCCCTCCGTGCTGCCCGACTGCCAGCCCCTCGGCCTGCCCGACTGCCAGCCCCACGGCCCGCCTGACGGCCAGCCCGTTGCCGCCCCGTGGCCGGCCCGACGGCCAGCCCCGCGGCAGGCCCCGCCCGACGGCCCGCCCGACTGCCAGCCCCGCGGCCAGTCCCGCGGCCGGCCTGGCCATCCCCTCGGCCAGCCGGGCGGCCAGCCCGTTCTGGATGGGTTGGCGGGGGTATTTTTTTTTCGGGGCCGCGAGCGGACAGCCGCGCGGCGTCGTGGAGTTGCACGAAAACCATGCCTACAACTAGCAGGGCGTAGGCCAGCACTGCAGCGGGCGAGTGCGGACAAATGCAAGTGATATCCGATCAGCGCGCCGGTGGCCGAGGCCGAGCGCGGGCGGTGAACGAACGTGGAAGAGGCGCCAGGCAACTGACCTTAGCTCAGCTCAGAAGCCGAAGACCACGGGCCCGAGCACGCTTGTGACCTCGACCTCTTCGAAGAGACACGCCGCGTCTCTGACAGGGCGTGCCAGCGCGGGAGAACAGCGCCGCCGTCGTCGCCCACGGAACAGCGAACCGCGCAGCGCAAGCAGCAGACCTCGAAGTGCAATCAGGTCTCTGCGTCCCAGGTGCCCCAATCGGCAGAGCGAGTCTTCAAAGAAGCCTCGGCCAGTGGGCTTTCGTGCGTCCGCCGCGAAACCGAACGCATAATGCCGCGCCAGGTGGCCCATGTAGCTCCTGCGGGGGGGCGCCGCGGGGCGGTGGGCGGGCCATAGACGGTGAATCGATGAACCTGGCCCGCGCGCCTCGGGGGGGGCGCAGGGGGCCAGGGGCGTTCTGCGAATGGGGTTGCGGCTGACAGCCGCAGAGATACGGTTGCCATGCTGCGCGTGGGGTCGCAGCTAACAGCCGGAAATAATGCGTCGAGGGCGGGCCGTGCGCCTCCAGCGGGGGGGTGGCCGCGGGGGGCGGTCGGGGCAGTCGACCTGGGGCGATAACTGTCAGCGTGCCTCGACGCCCGGGGGGGGGGCGCCGGCTCGTTGCGCGCAGTCGTGCGTATATATGTGAAGGCGAGGGCGCGGTGTAGCCAGCGAGCCCGCGCCCTGCCTGCGGAGGGGCCAGAAAGATCGGCCAGCGAAGAAACGGCAAGCGCGAGCGCCCGTGGGGGGCGCGGTGAGGGCGGGCCAATTTGCTGGGGGGTGGTCGCGGCTAACAGCCGCGGAGTTATGAGGAGATGTGCGGGCCCAAGGCAGTCGATCCAGGATGTTCATTGCCAGCTGGCCCCGCGCCCCGGGGGGGGCGCAGAGGCCGCGGAGGTGCGGGAAATCTTCCGGCGCAAGCGCCCCGTGGGGGGCGCCGAGGGGCAATCCGCGCTGCAGGTGGGGTCGCAGCTAACAGCCGCAGAAATGTTGAAGTCGATATCGGGCAGCAGCGCGCGGGCGCCTTCCCTCGCAGTCGCCCGCGTAGTGCGGGGGCCTGCAGGGGGGGGCTCAGGAGGCGCCGCAGGGCCCGATGGGGGTGATGGTGGGCTGAGCACTGGGGGGGGGACTTCCTGAGGCGTGGGGGGGGGCCTGCGGGGCCAGCCGACAACTCGCCGCGGCCCGCCGCCCCGAGAGGCGGGGGGGTCGCCGAGCCCGCCCCGGCTGGGCGGCGTGCTGGAGAGCCGCTACAAGGGGCCCCCGCGTGCTGGTCGTGCCGAAGCTCGGCGGGGGTGCAGCAAACAGCCGCAGGATGGCATGAAGTGCTGATGCCTGGCAAGATGGGAGTGTCGCGGAGGTTCGTGCTAGATGATCGGATCGAGGCGCAGCTGAGGAGCTGCTAACAGCCGCTGAAATGGTTGAGAAACTTCTTTCTGGTCGATCGATCTCCGAACGGGGTCCGACGGCCGGCCCGTGGGGGGGGGGGCCGCAGAGCGCAGCTAACAGCTGCAGAAGTGTACAAGGGGTCCGAGCCAGATCGATCGGGCAGATGCACGCGGGCGTTGTCCATCCCCGCCGCCCGCGTAGGTCAGTGGCCGGCCGGGGGGGGGGGGGCCCGGGGCCCCCGCAGGGCCCGAGTGGGGGGCGGGGGGGGGCAGAGTGCAGGGGGGGGGGGAGAGACCAGGGGGGGGCTTGGGGGGGGCCCGAGGTCGCACTGCAGGTCGTCTGAAAGCACTGCAAGACAACGAAGAACTGGAAGCCAAGGTGGGGGAATATGCAGTTGTGCTACTGGCCACGCTTGAGCTGGTCGTCGTGCTGCCGGTGCCAGTCGCACTGGCCGGCGGAACTCGTCCCGGACAACGTAAAGAACTTGGTGAACCGTTGCCGTCGTGCCACGGTCCACCACGTGCTGGCCGGACGGGGCTGCTCGACTGTGTCGCACTCGAAATCGTATTGCTCGACGTTGCGCTGTCCGACTCGACGACGCCCGCGCTACAGCCCGATGTGGTGTGGAGCTCGCCGTGGAGGTTGCCGTGGACATTGCGGTGTTCGGGGCCGTGCTGGTCGCGGCCATGCTGCTCGAGGTCGCTCCGTCGACGCAGCGAAACATTGGAAATCGAGCTGCGGACATTGCAGTTATGCTGCTGGCCCCGCTCGAGCTAGCCGTCGCGCTGCTGGTGCCGCTCGCGCGGGCCGTCGAAGATTGCGCCTCGGTCGCCATGTTATGAAGACCCTGCCGTGCCCGTCAGCGTCGCGCCGCTGCCCGCCCTTGTGCTGGCGCGACGTAGTGCTGCAAAACTGTGTTGCGCGTGTAATCGTACTACTCGAGGTTGCGCAGCTCGTCTGGACCCCGCGCACGTGGCTACTGAATATCGACGTGGAGCCCACCGTGGAAGTGGCCGTCTCGCCCGCGGCCGCCGCCGTCTTCCCTGGCGGCTGCCCGTGTTTTTCTCTGCCTGGACTTGGTGCCAGTTCGTGGGCGCCCGCGAGGCTTGGAGCCGGTGGAAGAGAGGCGCCGTTGTGCACCGGTCTCGTTTGTTACCCTCCCTGGACAGTCTTCCGTGTGGGCATGGGCATGGAGAGCCGGGCTTGCCTCTCCTCCCCTCCTAGCCGGTTCTGTTGGTGCCCATCTGGGGCAGGCCCCCCCCCCGCCGCTTCCAGCGCGAGGCCAGCCTGGAGTCCCCGAGCCCCGCCCTCTGAGGCGGGGGGAGCTAGGCAGGGGGGGGGCTGGGATGCAACTCCTGAGAGGTCAAATTCTGTTTCGGCGCTGGTCTTTTCGAGGTCGATCACCAGCTTAATCTGGTCTTATCCGATTCAATCTGGCTTAATCCCGCTACTCCGGCTTCATCCTGGGCTTCATTTGGCCTATTCTGGTGAAGTGGCCTTCTCATCGAGCTGATTCGCTCTTTGTCGTTCTCACGGAGGCCTCCCAGGAGTTGCCTCCTTGGGGAGGGGAGGGGGCGCCGCTTTTCTCTCGCCCTGGCGAGCGCGCAGGCCTCTACACGCCCGCGCACGAGAAGCAGCCCCCCTGGCTGGCCTCGCCCGACGGCGGCGCGCGCGGGGGGGGGGGGGGGGCACGTCGCGAGGCGCAGGAGGCAGGGAGGACCACAGAAACCACGACAACAAAAAAGTCAAGGAGGGCAAGAAGGAGCAAGGAGCAACAGCAAACACAAGAGGGGGAGGAAAGCAAGGAGGAGCCCCATCTCTCTCGTCGCGGCAGAGGACCACGGCGGGCGGTTGTGGACATTTTGAGAGGGGGGCCCTAGGAGGAGGAGGAGGAGGAGGAGGAGGAGGAGGAGGAGGAGGAGGAGGAGGAGGAGGCATGGGCCGCCGACCATGGGAAGTGCAGCTCCCCCCGCAGCCCAGGGGCTCCCAGCGAGGCGCGCGGGGCTCTCGGCGTCGGCGGCAGGGCGGAGGCGGGCGCGCGCCCCTTGCCGATGGAGAGCGCGGCTGGGGCGGCGCCTGTGCGCCGGGCCGCCCTGGCCGCCACCACCGCGGTGGCGGGCTGCACTGCGCTGGCGACCGCGGCGGCGGTGTTCGGCGACTACAAGACCAGACCCCGTCGAGTCATGAACAAAAATCACGACGGGAGGGTTTTCGTTATCTTCGGGCCCTGGGGGCCCTCACGGGGCCTCGGGATTGTCGAAACATGATTCAGGCTGAAAAACGGGTCCTGTGGAATGGGTCGAGACCCCTGGTGGCCATGACGTCGGGGGTCTGGGAACGGTAAGGGTGCGCGGGTGTGTGGTTTGCGATCGGCGCCGTGGGGGCCCGGGTGACATGACACCGTCCTCGTCGGGCCTCCTCGGGGCGTGGCGGAGAGCTCTGCAGGGGCCCCCGCCCGCCCCCCAGGGTGCCCCCCCCCGGAGGTGCTGGTTGCGTAAAGCACTTGCAGACCGCCCCCTTTGTGGAGTCGCCGAGGTGTGGCAGCGGCTTCGCAGGCGCCAGGATCGGCGGCGAGCGGTGGAGGGGGGAAGCGAGAAGGAGACGGCCTTCTTAGAAGGCGGCGGGGCTTCTCGGAGGCCCTCGCGCCGTCTGAGAAGCGTTCTGTGTCTCCTGGGGAGGCTTGGGGAACTTCTCGGAAGGTAGGCAGGGGGGCTTCCAAGCCTTCTGAGAAGGCCCACCCATTCTCGACTACACGTAAGGGTGGCCCTTCGCCGGAGTGGCCTTTGGTGCGGGCTTACCTGGGCGCCCCCGATCGCTTAGCGCGATGCGATGGTGACTGCTTGCGCGCTTGGATTTGGCAGCCTTGCGCCCCCTTACTTTGCGCACTACAGGTCGCTCTTGCCTAGGGTCACTCTTGCGTGGAGCCGACCTTCTCACTTTCCCCCCCCCTGGGCTCGCCGCCGACAGGAGCGCCTTGCGCTGCCCCCGGCGGCAGTGGGCGGCCCCGGGGAGCCAAAGATATCGGCACCGGTGGCGCCTCCACTCTCAGGGGATACGGTCGGGAACTTTGGCTCAGCGTGTCGCGCCGCTGGTTCCGGCCCACCACGCTTCGGCGCGACACGCTACCCACGCCCTGGTCCCCGAGCGTCAACGTCCCGAGACTTCCCTCCGCTTCCCGCGGAGCGGAGCGAAACGCTTTTAGCTTGCAGGGCATAGCGTGTCGACGGGGCCGCCGCCGCGACACGCTAAGCAACAGTTCCTGACCGTAGTAGACTCAGGGGGGATGCATCAACTACGAATCGCCCCTTCATCGCGGATAAGGGCCCGAATGCCCCACCCCGCTCAGGAACTGGTGGTTTTGCTATTGGGGGCCTGTCGCCGATCTGTCGACGATGTACCGCCGATTTCAGGTCGATGCTTCGCCCCCTGAGCTGATCCCCCCCAATCGTTGCCCCTCGGGTGCCTCCATTCCTCCTTGTCTTTTTTTACGGTGAGCTCTTCCTGGAGAGTTCTCGTCGCCACGGCTGGATTATCCTCGAGATTCTGGTCAGAATGCGCCCATGGGAGACGTCTGCGGCGGAGTAGCGGTCTCAGTACATTGTTGACCCTCCAGCACCTCTTTGCCTCCCGTTCCTCGGCCTCGTCTTTCTTCAAAGAAGCCACGTCCGCTCGAGTGCACTTCATGTGTTCTCCCCGTCCTCCGTCACTTCGACAGTATGTAAGATGTTTTGTTTAACCTCCTCCTTAGCCTGACAATTCCACCTCATCCCCTCCACTTGTTTTGCATTGGGCGGATATGAAGGCCAGGCTTGTTTCGTGCCTCAGGGGAAAGTGGATGCGCCGATTTAGGCATGTGAGAACAAAGCAAGGTTGCTGCCAGTGCGAACTCGAGAGATGCAAGAAGAGATCATATAGTTTTAGTTGCCCATGAGGGTGCGGAGTGACTAAGCAGGCAGCCAATGGCAGTAGGAACATACTGATACACATACCGAGAATAATGCAACATCCGCAGAACGAGTTCGTACAAGAGTGGTCAGACTAGGTCGAAATACGCGCTCAGGTAGCAAGAGCAAATGTATTGCCTGTTCGTTGCTCTGCAGAGTTCCCGACTGGTACTAAGTGGGAGAGCTAAGCAATCCCGTGAGAGCTGGAAGCAGGAGCATCTTGGCAGCATTGGCGGGGCTGTGGTATTGTCCAAGGTGCGAGGGAGGGAGACATGACAGGCCCTCGGCGACCCACAGAAGGGCTGGTGCCCCTCTGTCGAAGACCAAAGCGGATGCATGGCTGACGAAATTTGCTGTTGGGCTTGTTGCTTTGAAGTCTGGTGTCTTTGGTTGACACACTGCATCGGCTATCTCAGATCGTACTGGCTGGGCTGTGTGAAGTTCTGCTGTTTTAGCATCGGTACTACGATATTGGCTGAAGAGGTGAAGTCATACAAGGCACGGATCGCATCACCACAGTGGGGAGAAGGCTCGCCCAATATCGAAAAACAAAGGGACGATGTGACGTAATGTAGACAACTTCCCTCCCCAGCCCACCCCATCACCACGTCCAAGGAGCCCCTTCAAATGGTCAGTGAGGCTGGCGGGTTGGCCTTGAAAGTAGGGCAGGCTTGAACGTGAGGTCGGGAAGCGTATCGTGTTCGTTCTGTTGGCTAGCAGCGAATAGCGAAACGCAGTAGGCTGGCTTGTAGGCAAGCCTGGATGTAATTCAAACCGGCTTGTATACTGATGGCTACTGGAGTGTAGAAAGAAGGCTGGCGCAGACGGTACCGGCCAGCCAAAGCTGCAGACGCACGTGCTCTTCCTCCATCTCCCCCTTCCAAACATACCCACTCCCCCCACGAACGATGTCCCAGATGTGCCCAGCAGAATGAACAGTACATGGCAGCACGTGGTAGAACTGGTGGTGTTTTTGTTGAAATGGCCCCCCTGGCTTTGGTAGGCCTCCTGTTAGCCAGCAGTAGGCCCGCTCGTCGGTCCCTCGGTGGGGGGACTCACCTTCGCCGTCTCGTAGCCAGATGGAAGCAAGTGAGGTAGGAACAGAGTGCAGGGAACAGTGTGTAGTACGCTCTACCCTGTAGCCTCGGGGAGCACCCCCGGCAGCCTCGAGAGAGGCTGTAAGGGTGGCTACGAGCACGGCTGGATGGAGGTGCATTGATACGGGCATGCGGATGAAGTCGAAACCTGAGACGAGAGGACGGAAGGAAGCGACAGTGGTTGTGCAGGGTTGCCAGTAACGGGCGACGTTCCTTGCCAGAAGGGCACATGGTGGCATGGAACGGGCGATTCACCCTGACCTCTCCACGCTCGGGCGGGACTGGCGGTGCCAGAACCGTCAGGGGCCCCACATCCCTCCCCTCCCAGTCCAAAGCCAACCCAAGCCACCCACCGTAAGAGAAGCGTAAACTGTTGACTGCTGGCGGTGTGTAGAGAGCAACGGTGCAAGAGCGTAGTCACGGGTGGCATGGGGTCCCCACGGTATGGGGAGAGCCCATGCGCAGAAATTCGTATGGGGGGCAGTGTAAGCTTGTTCTCCAGCGCAGCGCCGAAACGTGAGAACGGCATCACCCCTCCCCTCTCCCAGGTCAAACCAGCCAATCTTCCAAGAAATGTGCAAGGTCTGATCGGTTCACAGATACGAATCGATTGCCAGTGCGGGCGCTCAGTGGATGATTGTCCTGAGCTCAATAGTGATGAGCCCTTCTCCCAGGTATGCTCCGCAGAGCTCCCCCACAGGGCGTGGGGCTATGTAGATCTGGCTGTGAATGTCGTGATCAGTCAGTGCTATTAGTCGTGTTGTTGCTCCACAGTGCTGAGGTATATTTCGGGTGGTCTGTGGGCGGAGCTTCTACTGGTGCCTGCTGTATGTCAGAGTGGGATTGCACCGCTGCTGGGTACTGTGTGTACAGCTGTTGGTGTTCCCGCCCTGTATTGAGGTAGCTGGTGAGTGATTCCGCCTTGTAGTCGTTTGGGTTGTAGTGGGAGTCGTATTTGGGTCCGATTGGTGTTGCTCCTATCTGACCGTCTTCGATGGGTGGCGGTCCTTTAGGCAAAAAGTAGATACTGACGGTTGCCCGCGTCTGTGCTGTACATGGGTGAGGTGGGGGTCAGCAAGCCATCCATACTCTTGGCCTTGGAGGTATTCGGTGGAGGGTGAACGTTAAGCCTAGGTGGTGGTGATGGTGTTGGTATTTGTGTGATCGGATGTTGGCGATGATTGTCTTGCTGTGCCACTGCTGGTTGTGGTGCTACTTTGCTGTGTGGCTGTGTAGTCGTAGCAGTTGCTGGGTCGTGTTCTTGAGTCTTTATTTAAGGGCTGCCGCCTCTGCCGCCGACACCAATTCAGAAGTAGCGGTGGAGCTTGCGAACTCTGTCCTCGGGATCATACTCGTGGCGGCCGTTGGCCCGTCGCGCCCCTGGAAAACACACATCCGAGTCATCAATTTTAGGGGTCCTGTGTGTTAAATCAATAGGCGGCTGCCAGGTCGAAGGCGGAGGGGGGGGGGGGGGGGCGGGGCGAGGAAATTGTCGAGCGGGGGTCTCGGGAAAGAGACAAGAAGGGGGCGGGGATGCCGGGGCAAGGTCGACGGCGGGGGGGGGGGGGGCGGCGGGTCAGAGAAATTGCCGAGTGGGAGGTTCCAAGAAAGAGACGACCAGGGGGCGGGGGTGCCGGGGCATGGGGGGGCGGCGGGGCGAAGAAACGGTCGAGTGAGGGTTTTCAGAAAGGGACAACCAGGAAATGGTCCCGAGAAAGAGACAGCCAGTGTGCGGGGATGCTGGGGGCAGGTCGGCGGCGGGAGGGCGGCGAGGCGGAGAAAATGACGACGGCGGCGGGGGCGGCGGGGCGGAAAAATTGCCGAGTGGGGCGTTCAGGAAAGAGACAAGCAAGGGGTGGGAGTGCCAGGGCCAGTAGGACAGGGAGGGCGTCGGCGGAGTGGAGAAATTATCGAGTGAGAGCGCTTAAGAGAGAGAGGAAGCCACGAGCCAGGTCGGCGGCGGGGGGGGCGGCGGGGCCGAGAGGCAACGACAGGGTGGGGATGCCGGGGGCAGGTCGACGGCGGGGAGCGGCAGCGCGGAGATATTGTCGAGAGGAGAGTCCCAAGAAAGAGACAACCGGGGGGGGGATGCCGGGGCCAGGTCGACGGCGGGGAGAGGGGGGCGGAGCGGAGAAATTTGCATGCGGGGGGTCCCAAGAAAGAAACAACCAGGGGGGTGGGGATGCCAGGGCCAGGCCGACGGCGGGGAGGGGCGGCGGGGCGAAAACATTGCCGAGTGGGGCGGGGGATGCCGGGGTCAGGTCGACGGCGGGGGGGCGGCGGGGGGGAGAAATGTGGGGGTCCCAAGGAAAAGACAATCAGGGAGTGGGAATGTCGGGGCCGGGTCGACGGCAGGAGGAACGGCGGGGCGGAGAAATTGTCGAGTGAGGGGTTCCAAGAAAGAGAGAGCCAGGGGGCGGGGATGCCGGAACCAGGTCGACCCGGGGTCAGGTCGAAGGCGGGGGGGGCGGCGAAGCAGAGAAATTGTCGATTGAGGGGTCCCAAGGAATTACCCCAGTGCGGCCCTACCTAGAAGTTGGAGCCCCTAGGAAAGCAGCATTAGTTGCTATGCTATGTTATGCTATGCCATGTTATGCTGCGCTATGCTATGCTCTGGTCTGTTATGATATGCTATGCTGCGCTGTGCTGTGCTGCGCTATGTTATGCTATGCTATGCTGGGCTATGCTTGGCTATGCTATGTGATGCTGTGCTGCGCTATGCTATGCTATGCTACGCTGTGCTATGCTGTGCTCTGCCATGCTAAAGCTCAACGAAGCTAAGGTGAAGGTAAGCTAGCTAAGATAGATCTGAGCTAAGATGAACCGAAGCAAAGCTAATATGAAATAAGCTAAGCTAAGATGTGATAAGCAACGCTAAGCTAAGGGGACGTAACTGGGGGAACCGCGGGGCGGATATTGGGGGAACCGCCAGGGGCGGGTTGCACTGCCCGGCCCTTGAAGCACACCGAGTAAGAACCCTTCTAGGCAGAGCCTAGGTAGGGAATAAACAACCAGAGGCTGGGGATGCCGGAGCCAGGTCGACGGGAAGGCGCAGAAGGAGGAGGATGAGGGAAGAGGAAGAGGGAAGAGGAGGAGCAGGAGGAGGAGGAGAAGGGACAAGCAGGAGGAGGAGGGAAAAGGAGGAGGAGGAGGAGGAGGAGGAGGAGGAGGAGGAGGAGGAGGAGGAGGAGAGAAGAAGCTCAGGTCAGGTCAGGTGGCTGTACGCCCCAAGGCGCGTTGGCAGGCGCAACATGATGAATGAACGCACGTCCAAGGAGGGGGACGAGCATGCGCAAGGGGAGAGAGGGACGCACGACTCACGAGGACGCGAGTCCAGGCGGAGCGAGGGGGGAGGGACGAACGACAAGGGGAACGACTCAGGAAACGCAAGAGAACGGAAACGGAGGAGGTCAATACGCGGAGGAGGAGAACGCGGATAAGGAGGTCCCCTGTAGCTCGCGAAGCGGAGGCGGGGGGAGGGGAGGAGGAGTGGGGCTGCAGGGTGGAGGGCAGTGGAGCAGGAGGGCGAACGAGGCGGACCAGAGGCACCCAGACACGGAGGAGCAGGAGTGGGAGGGGAGCGAGAAGGGGCTCGGCGGAGGCTGTGTTCTGCCGCGTGGGCGAGAGAGCGCCCGCGACAATTCCGCCCGGCCTCACCAGACGGAGGTCGGAGCCTGGGCTACCCCCCCCCCCTCCCCCCCCTTGTTCGGGGCCTGGGATCAGCCCGGGCTCCCCCGTCCAAAGGGGGCCAGGAAAGCCACCAGAGCAAACAATGCAATGTGCTCCCCCCAGCGGCGCCGCTCCTGAGGCAGACGCCCGATGTTGACGAACAGGTCGGGCGGACGGCCACGGGGCGGGCAACAAACGTGGGGCTTGGCATCGCTCGGACGTGTTCGTTTTTTCTTCTCGGCGACAGTCGAGGACCATCCTGGATCATCGAGCAAAAAAACCAGGGACAAAGCCGAAAAATGCACGGGGAATGGACGTCCGAGCGATAGCGAGCCGTGGGGGCATGGAGGACTGTATGAAAAGGGGCCCGGGGGGCCCCAGAGAGGTCCCCGAGACGACCGCGTCGCGCGCGCCGAGGTGCAGAGGCGATCTCGGCGCCCCGCGCCCGGGAGCCCGAGGTCGTTCGCACTGCTCGCGAACGTCTGCAGAGTCTGAGCTCGCGTCACCGCCCCTCCGCCCTCATCCCCCTCCTGCGCGGCCGTAAGTTCAGGTAGGTAAGTCGGACGGACTCCTCTGGGCACGCTCCACCTCCTGCGCGGCCGTACTCCTCCCCGCTTTCTCGTTCAGTGCCCAGTTCGCGATCCCGCTGCCCGGTCTGCCGTCCCAAAGTTGCCGAGCGTCCGCCAGCGCTGCGACCAAACAGTCGTGGCGCCCCTTCTACGACCACCCGCGAAGAGCCATACCCCTGAGCACCCAAGCTGCGCTGTGGTATTGTACACCCCCGCTAGTATCCACCTGGCCGCAGATATCCTTTCATTATGGTACAGCTCCTGGGAGGTAACAATTCAGCATCAGCGCTGCCATATCCGTAGTCGAAAACTGGCTTCATTCAATTCAACCTAATTTGGCTTCATACGGTTTAAGTTTAAGATGGTTTAGTCATGGGCAGATTCTGGGCTACTTCGGCTGGCTGGCCGCTTCATCGGGCCTGATAGCCCTGAATCGTTCTTGCGAAGACACCCAACAATCTGTTTCCGAAACTTAAACTCCATGCCCCAGCAGGTGCGTTGGGAACCTTACCTGCAGGGAGGGTGGGGCTGACGGATGGCTGCCTATATTCGGAGAACAGAAATGACATAAACAAAACATTGCCGGAACTCCGCGCATGGACGGCGCCAGAGGCGACGCCAGGTGCACGCGGAGCTCATGAAGTGTATGCTTGTGCCGTTTCAGCATCCTGCACACACATCGGAGGCATTTAAGGAAGGGCCCCGCCTTCGAGGATCGAAGGAGTTGCCACATCTTCCTCGGCGGAAGGAGGGCGGAAGTCAAACGAGGGCGGCTCCGCTGGCGGAAGGCTGGCGGAAGCCCGCGGACGTACAAGTTGCGCCCCCAAGAGCCCAAGAGATGGCAGCATATTAGGGTTCAGGTTTCCCGGAGCCGGCCACAGATTCACGCGTGTAGACACATAGATGTTTACACGCATACACGCATATCTGTAGACCAATGTATGCACACGCGCTCCGCAGGCGGAGGTGGTGGCGGAGGCGACCTGTCCTGGGTGGAGGTGGCGCGGCACGCCCAGGCGGACGATCTCTGGCTGGTGGTCGACGGCGAGGTTGCCCGTGGGCCTGGAGGAAGCTGAGCACGACGAGTGAGCGACGCAGGGAGGAGAGGAGGAGGAGGAGGAGGAGGAGGAGGAGGAGGAGGAGGAGGAGGAGGAGGAGGAGGAGGAGGGGGAGGAGTATACTCACCATGAACAAGAAGAGGAAAGTGTGGTCGTCTTCGCTGACGTGGGCGCGTAAGCTGCCCGGTGGAGGTCGCGCGTAGGCGCCCTCGTTTCCAGGCGTATGGTGCCGCGCTGGCGGCCCGCGTGCGCCACCGTGGAAGGTCGCCGAGCCATCTCGCGCAAGACCCGTGGTTGCAGGGCTGCCCGTCTGCCTCCCCGAGCGGCCGGGGTCGTCGTCCTCGTCCTCGTCCTCGTCCTCGTCCTCGTCCTCGTCGTCCTCGTCGTGGTCGTTCAGGTGCTCGCGCCGCGTCGATGGCAGCGGCTACCCACCGGGGGGCGTGCCTTGGAAGCCCTCGGAGGCCCGAGGCTGTGTCGGGCGTGCAGTCCTCTGCCCTCGGCGGCTCTCCAGCCTCGGGAGGCTCTCCAGCAGCAGCGCCTCGCCGAGAGCGCTCCCTGTTCTCTCGGAGGTCCGAGGTCTTCGGGCATATTCCTCGGCTCTCCAGCCTCGGGATGCTCGCCAGTAGCTGCGCCTCGCCGAGGACGTTCCGGGGGTGCCCGGCCAGTCCAGCTCCACAGCAAGGATTAAAGTTTGCTTAAGGAATTGTCCCGCAGCGTTTGCGCATCAGCACGTGTCGGAGCAAGGCGAAACCCAAAAGCGCCACGCCCGGCTATTCGCCAGCGTGGCAGCGCGGGCCCCTGCATCTCTTATTCGGACAGCGCGGGATGCCCGGATCGTCCCGAACGACCGCTGGAGAACTGAGGTATGACCCAGAAACCACGGGCAACGTACCTCGAGGAGCATCAAGCGGCATGAACATCAGTTTTCGGAGCTCCGCGCGGAGTTCCTGGATCTGCGCCGGGCTCCCTTGGCGACGCCTGAGGCGCCGCCCGTGGCGCGCTCCACGCGTCAGGCAGGGGAGTTCAGCGCAGATCCAAGCAATCCGCGCGGATCTCTGACAGTTCATGTTTCTGCAGTGCTTTCTTCGTCTATTCAGGGTTGAACACCGCCAGAGGCCTAGAGTCGGCCGACATCGAACGATACGCATAGTCGGAAGGCTGCGACCGTTCCAGGTTGGACGATCCACGCGGTGTCGGGAGCCAGCGCTCAAGATTGCACGACACGAGCCTGCCGTAGTGCTGCCGTTGTCCTCGTCGTTGCCTCACCACTCCGGAAAGGGAGGATTCTGAGGGAAACGGGGATCTTGAGTTTTTTTTGCTCGTTCTCGGCCTCTCGGGGCCCCTTTACTGGGCCCCGGGACCGTCAAGCCACAACAATTCAGGGCTCAGAGCCGATCGTGGCGAAAGCCCCAGGGGGCTTTCCTCAGCACCACTTTGCTTACGCCAGTCGTCGTCGACGTCCTCCTCGTTCTCCTCGTCCCTTCTCCTCCGATCGTCTCTTCCCTCGTCCTCCCTTCTATCCCCTCCGAGGGGAGGTCGTTTTCAAAGTGGGCTCTCGCCCCAGCGCCGCGCGCATTCGTGGAACAAGTGTGCAACACACGCTGAAGTTCGAGGCGGTACGTATTCGGAATGGCGCTCTCGCCCTGGCTCTGCACGCACTCGTTCTTTGATCGGAGGAGGGAGAGGGGGGAAGGAAGCGGATGCGGGATCCCAGACATTCTGCGTTTCGGTTTGCTCGAGACACGGGCCCCCGACCTCTGGACCACTTCCCTGGGACCGGCTTTCCATCCCGAGGCGGTTTTCTACGGTCCCAGGGCTCGGTGAGGGCCCCGAGGGGCCGAAAAAGATGAACAAGCTCCGTCTCGATTCTTCGAGACGCCCGGGTGTCTGGGATTACCAGTCATGAAACATAGTCGCCTACCCGTGTGTGTGTGTGGTTCGAGTCGCTTGAGCGCGTGCCGAGTTCGGTTCGACGTTCCCGGCGAGTTATTGTGCATTGAGTTCTGAGATCCCACGCGTGTAGAATTGCTTAGTTTCATCTCCAGGGTCATTGGTAGGAGGAGGGGGAGGAGGGACTCCCTCCCCCTCCTCCTACCAGGGAGGAGGGACTCCTCCTGGTCCTGCGTCCACTCCCTCCGAGGGAGAGAGTGGACGCGGGAGCACCGATCCTGAAGCCGCGGAGGTCTACGACGTCACGCCGTGGCTGGAGGACCACCCGGGGGGCAGGCTGCTCCTGCTGGCCTTCGCGGGGCGGGACGCCTCGGACGCCTTCGGGTCCATCGGGCACTCGGCGCTGGCGAGGCGCGAGATGCGACGGCTGCACAAGGCGCGGGGCCCCGCTGCGCGGCGCTGCGCCTATCTCAAAGAAACAGCGCATGCCCGGCGGTCGTTGGAAGTAGGCACTTTTGGACTCCAAGATCCCAATCTACTTCAGGAGCCTTCCTACTTCAAGAATCGATCTGCTTTTGCTGCGTGCTGTTATTCTCTAGGAGGGCCTGGACCCAATCTAGTTGTTCCGCCTTCATACTTCTAATGCTTACCTACTTCTTCCGACCGACGTGTAAACATGAACTTTCGGAGCTCCGCGCGGATTTCCTGGATCGGCTCTGGAAACCCCCTGGCCCGGCCCCCCTTGGCGGCGCCTGCGGCGCCGCCCCAGGCGCGCTCCGCCCGCCAGGGAGGGGTCACCAGCGCAGATCCCAGAAATCCGCGCGGACCCTGAAAAGTTTGTGCTGCTGTTGCTGTCGTTGCTTCTTCTGCTATTGCGGGCGCGGCCCTTCCCCGCTGCCCGCTGTGGAGATCGCCGCCCTGATTTGGTTGCGCGTGCGAGTGATCCTTCGCCAGAGGAACTTCTACACTTGAGCCCCACAACCTAGTAGCCAGTCAACTCGGAGCGTGCCTGAAACTCCAGCATGTTCAAAATCGATGTGGATAATGTTGCGTCTGTGTTACTGGGGGGGGGGTAGGCGGGGTAGAGCGACAACTCTGAAACTGTACAAGAGTGACCACACAAGCGTGAACATCCGACACAGCAGCCGAAGGCGGACACAGACCAGCGAGCGGCCCGAGAGGAGGGGGCACCCTCCGACCGATATTCGCACAGCGTGATACCCTCGATCGAGGGACCCTCCCCACGAATACAGTGGTGCCTGACCGAGCCTGAACTCGTCGGGGAGGGGAGCCCTGAAAAAAGTAAAACACGCGCTGAGACCCAGTCCCGAGCATTGTTGACTGGCACTTGTGCCCTGAACAGCTCAGACCAGAGCCCGGCACACATTCTCGGGAGGGAGGGTCGGGGAAATGGGTGTGTCGCTCTGAACCCTCTAAGGTAATCTGCCACACCTTCCCAATCGTTCTATCATTTGCTTAGCTCAGAGGACAGGGGGAGAAGCGAAAAGGGCGCGCGCGCGCCCTGCTCACGAGGCTCCTGCAGCGGAATGATACGATACGCAGCGGCAACAATCTCGCATTGGCCAGAGCCGCGTTTGGGTGGGGGGGGGGTCGCGAGTTGCGCTCGCAGAGCTCACTATGCCCCCCCCTCACGGTTGGGTCCGCAGCTCAACAGTTGCCTACACGCCACAAGGAGACAGGGAAGAGAGTATATAAAAGAGACGTCGAGCTTCTGGCCTGTCAGCGGCGTCTGTTCTTGACCCGTCCTGCCGTGGACGGCCTGCTGGAGGGCTCTCCACCGCTGTCGGCCATGCTGCCGATGCGAGGTAGCTCGACGACCGACTTCGTTCATTGCAGTCTCCAGCGCGCAGAGCAGCTCGCGTGCCAGAGCCGTGTCTGCCACGGGCGATTGCTGGATGGCCTGTCGGATCTGCTCCGCAGGCCTTTGCCAAGAGATTTGGACACGCTCGAGCTGTCCTGCTGTCATGCACCTTCGTAATTACATCGTTGCAGAGCCGACGTTGTCTGACAGCGTCCCTTCTGACAGCCGCCGCCCCAGCATGCCTCAGTGAGTGGGGAGGTCCGAAGTCTGGCAGCCCTGTCTTGTCGAAAGCTTGGCGCCAGGCCCTGCGGTACGCGTCTTGGGAGATCGGGAACAGGAGGTCGGGAGGCTGCGCCCCCTGACCGAGGGGATCACGACCCATTGGTTGGCGCCCGTCTTGACCTTCTCCCCGCGATCTCGCTTGCTCAGGTTGAGGCCAACCTCTTCGTCGGGACCCGCAGCAACGTCTGATCTCCTCACGAGCCCCCAGTCCTGCTCTCGCAACCACCCGTCCAGTTGTAGCAGCACGGCTGAGCCCTCGTGCAGCTGCCCGTTAAGGAACAGGTCGTAGAGCACGATTCCTACAGCCTCGAACGGCACGGGGCCCCCCTCCTTCTGGAAGCCCATCCTCGACCAGAATTTCAACGCTCGTGCCGCTACTGGCAAACTGTTGCGGTGGTCCTCGAAGACGTGCATGAACCCGTTGAACAGGGCAGAGACTCTCCCGAACGGCAGTTGCATGACCCAGCACATAATCGAGATATATCCAGCCAAGGCGAGGTCCCTCTGCTTGTACGTCGCGAACGGCAGCCCGTGCCTCTTCACGTCGATCAGGAAACCTCGCACCTCCTTCTCGTAGATCTTGTTCGTGGCGTCGTCCGCGGCGTGCACCACGACCCTCACATTGTGCTCCAGCTTGTCACGCTGGGTCTCCTCCCACGCCAAAGGCCCCCGCTTGATCAGCAGTGGCGGCTTGACCGAAGACTCCTTGTTGCGAGGCATCGCGTCACACCGCCCAAACCAACCCCACATAATCACAGATGTGATGACCCAGGTTGTCCCAGTCGTGCGCGCTCTTGAAGTCGCTGAAGTATCTCTCTGGGTACCCCACGCCCTACGTGCTCAGCGACGGTGTCGTCCGCTGCACCAATAGCCTGTCCCCATCGACGGACCATCGGCCAGATTCAGCTCGCTCGGCACTCAGCGGAAGTAGCCGCGGATCCTGCACACCATCTGGATGATCCCACCGATGCGCGCGAGGTGCAGCAGGTCCTTGGCCGAGGATCGGCCCTTCCTCGGCACGCCCGGGCTCGCCGGAGAGTCCGTGAAGAAAAGCACGCGATGGCTCCAGCTCTGCGACGTGCGGCTGAGGTGTCTGAGCACCGCCACCACTGTGCGCAGCTCCAGGACGCTGTTGTGCTCCACGTTCGACCACGTCCCCTGGAAGAGGACGTGCCACTTCATCCCCAACCAGTGCCCTAGCAGCGGCATGGCGGGCCCCGTCGCTCGCACCACTTGTCCGCGGCCCCCTCGCAGCTTCGCTCGGGCCCCCGCTGGTGTCGATTCCCAGTGCGGCTCGAGATCCTGCAAGATAGCGCCGTAAGCCCTGCACAACTCCCGCGGGTATGCACCGGCCAGCTGCGCCCACCTCAGCCCACAAGGAGACCGTCCCCGCAGCTCGCGATGAGGTCGCCCAGTGTGGCTGCAGCGCCAGAACGTACCTCCACACTTCAGCTCCAGCCCCTGCAGCTTCCGCAGCTTCGTCAAGAAGGTTCTTCTTCTTCTTCTTTCACCTCTTCGCCGTACATGCAGTAGTCCACCACGCGGTAGATACCCTGCATCTTCACGACGGCCTCCATCGGCGGGAAGCCCCAGATCATGCTCCCACTGAGGTTCTCCAAGGTGAACCCGAGGCCCAGGCGCATGCAGATGTTGGCGACCACATGCCGGCTATCGGCGCCAGCGCGTTGCCCCCGTCGATCTTCTCTTGGTCTTGCCTGCTCCGATCCGGCAGCCCCCAGAGGCGGTCGATCGACCTGAGGGGCGGCCACCGTGCTTGCGAGAACGTGGCACAGGGCGGGGCCAGGTGCGCCCACCAGTACCAGCCCGTCCACAGCCTCCGCAGCAGCATCTCCAGGGTCTCGACCACCAGCACGTCGAGCTCCGAGCCCAGCTCCACGTCCCAGGCCCCCCCCCAGGACTGCGTCAGATCCCCTGACAGCCTCCAGCAGCCGAGAGCTCCCAGCAAACAGCTCCAGCACTCCAGGACGACCTGCCCGCCAGGCTCGAGATCTCGTGAATCTTCAGGCTCCTCGTCCCCGGTGCCGGTAGCGACACCTGCTCCGCCTTCAGAGGGCACAGGCCCCCCTTTCGCAACACCGCCGACGTACTCGGTGAAGCGGTCTTCGTCGTCGTAGACTTCTTGGTGAAATAGTCTGTAGGGCTCCCACCCGCCAGACGGCTCAGAGCCGCCCTGCCGTCGTTGATGGTTCCCCAGCCTGCTCTGGCCGCTTGGAGGTCCCAAGCGGTCGTCACCAGTCGTTTCTGCAGCGGCGTATTCTTCGCCCAGTCGTCCTGGCTCGCGTCCGTCCGCCCCAGACCCGACGGTCGAATCCAGCCATTCGAGCAGCCAGTCGCCATGCTCCGAATCGCCGCTATCGTTCTCGAAGTTCGCCTCCACGTCAGTCGCAACTCCGTCTCCGACAGACCCGAAGTCGAACGTCTCGTCCACAGTGGAAAAGGGAGGCAGGGTAAACTCCTCAGGGGATCTTTCTCCCTCAGCTCCTTCTCCCCAGTAGTCATCAGGAGCCATCCGGCGACCTGCCCGCGACGTACGGGAAGGCCTGCTCGCCAAAATGGAACGAAGGGCCTCAAGTACACCAAAAGCCCCCGCTCTGTGGCGATCCCGTGGAAGACCCCACAGGCAATCGCCAGGATACTCACCAACCCAATGTAGCACCACCACCCGCCCGAAGTGTCCAGCAGCAAGCTCGGCACGAAAACGGCTCGCCGCCGCGGCCGTGGTAGAGAGGCGTGATCTCCCAGGCCTTGGCCAGAGCACACCACGATAGTTCCGGCCACAACCTATCGTCATCACCAGCAGGCTGCCCCGTACGCACCTCTCCCAGGTGCTTGCTCAGGATCGCCCGCCTCTTCAGCTTCTCCATCACCTCGTCGTCCTTGCGGTTCTCGCTGGTCGAGTCGCCGTCCAGCCGCAGGGACTCCTTTGCCAGGGTCCAGTCGACCTTCGTCTTCCGCTTCCCGCCGTGCTGGCTCGTTGGGCCGCTGCCAGTCGGCCTTGCACTGCACTCGCGCGTAGGCCTTCCAGATCGAGTAGAGCCCCAGGCAGGTCTGCTCAGCGGCCTGTGAATTGATCAGCTCGTCGTACTGCCCCTGGCTCATCATGCGGTCCAGCACCATGGCCAACATAGTAATCTCCTGCGCGACCCCCGCCGTCTGCAGCTCCTTGCTGCGCAGCCACTTCTGCGTCTCGACGCGGGCGCTGCGCCCGCCGTTGTAGAGCTTCGCCAGCACCGTCGGCGCCACCCTCGCCCTGACGCCCCCCACGGGGGCCCCAGCAATGGTACGGTACCTCTGCAGCGTCGTCAGCAGGCTATCCTTCGGGTTCACGGCCTCCTCCTTCAGCTGCACGATCTGGTCTTTCAGCGGGTCCTCGAACTACGAGATGTTCCCGACCTTCTCCCAGGATGCTGGGCTCGAGCTCGGGGTAGGCGACCCAGCCTTGGCCTTGGTGGACCACCCCGCGCCCTTCCTGACGACATCCTCGTGCTCAGTCAGCTTCTGAAGAAAAGGCATCCACGTCCGCCACCGTCGGCTCGCCAGGCCTCGGCCCAGGGGGCTCAGCCGACGGCGGCATGGGGGGCCCAGGCCCAGGGCCCTAGACGCCACCCCCGCCGACTGCAGCAGCCGCAGCCGCCTCGGCTCCATCGATCTTCGATTTCAGCTCTCCGACGGCGGTCGCTAGGTCCGACTGACCACGAGCCAACTCCGCGAACAGGGCCTTGGTGTCCGCTCCTCATCGCTGCCGCTGATGTCGGCACCACCGTAGACACTGCCACCTTCAGACTCGCTGCCACTCTCGCTGTCGGTGTTCCCCGACCTTTCACCACCTAGGCACGACCACAGGGCATAGAGGAGGAGGAGGCGGAGGAGGAAGAGGAGGAGGAGGAGGAGGAGGAGGAGGAGGAGGAGGAGGAGGAGGATCATCCCGCCCGCGTAGTCCGCGAGCAGCTCCAGGTCCCCGCTGCTTTACAGCTCGAAGGCGAGTTCGCAGAAATTCTCGAGATCCTCCACCGCGTGGAGGGCCAGCAGCGTCCCCAGCTGGAAGAAACGCCAGATCCTCTAGCACACGAGCCCTACTGCAGCGTAGCTCCCCCGGGTGCGGTGACTCCAGACAGCGAAGATCGCCGAGATGACGCCCTTGCCAATCCACGTCGCCACCTTCGCGCGGCTGCCGACCTTCTTCTTCCCGCTCTTCTGGTCGACCTTCACCGACGTGGCTTCGGCCTGGCCCAGCTCGTGCCTCACAATCAGCCTCTCGGCCGCGATAGCCGCCTGCTCCCGCTGCTTCTCGGAGAGGCCAGGATGCCCTGTCCACGAGATACCTCGCTTGGGCCGTGCGTGCATGTGGGCCTTGTCCCGCAGGTTGATGATCACGACCCGCTGCGCGGGATCCACGGCCGTCCACAGGAGGCTGTTGGCAACACCCACTCTCGATACCAGGAGCATGACCACACTCTGTTCCACCGCGCCCACGGCGCCATGAAGCCGGCTGGCACCCCCCTCCAGGGCTCCTCGCCTGCGTCAGCAAGCCGCTCGACGGGCTCCTCGGGCGCGGGCTCTCTGCGCCCCGCCAGCGGCTCTGGGAGGCCGTCCCACTCTGTGAGTGCCAGCGCCCCGATCAGCGCCCACCCGAGCCGCCCGATCGCAGGCGCCGTGGCGGTGATGCTCGAGCCCTCGGACTCGGTCTGGGCTGGAAGATCCCAGGGCTCAACGTGCGGGGCCTCGCCCCGCTCCACCTCTGAGCCGAAACCAGGGCCAAGGAATGTGCCGGTGTGCCTGAAGGATGGAGGCGGCTCCGTCAGGCGAAAGCGGGGCTCGTGCAGAAGTCTGTTAAAAAACGCGTACTTGGTGCTGGCCCGCTGGGGTCCCCCAATCGCTGAATCGGATGCGATAGCAGCGGTTCACGCGCTTGGGTTTCCCCCGCCCACCCACCCCCACCCCCCTCCCTGCACCCCTTGCCTCAGGTCACTGTTGCCTGGGGTCACTCTTGTGTGTAGCCGCGAAGGAGGCGATAAATAGTGTTCTCGGTGGGGGGGCTCTGGATTTCTCGAGGGGGCCCCGAGGCGGATCGAGATCCTGGGCTGGAGTGCAGACCTGCCGATCATCATCCTTGAGCTACGGTCGGGAACTTTTGCCTGGCGTGTCGCGCCGCTTGTTCTGGCCCACCACGATGCGACGCGACACGCAATCCACTCGGGCGTCAACGCCCCCAGCCATTCCCAGCCTCTCCAGGAGTTCCCGACCGTAGTCGTCCTCCGCCCCCCCCCCTCCACCCCATCCATCCTCCCCCCCTCCCGCCTCCTCGCCCCTTCCCACCCCCCCCTCCGCAGAGCGGAGCGGGTTGAGCTTCCCCCCGCCCAGGGCAGGGTGCACCACGCCACGCCGCAGGCCGCCGCGCTCATGCCAGCGGCCGGCAGACTCGCGGGACGGCGGGCCACGCTCACCGGGGGGCCGTCGGGCACGAGCGACCTGACGAGGCCCCCGGGGGCGGCCAAGGGGTTGCTGCTCTCATTCGGTGAGCCGAGAACGTCTGTTACGGGGGGGGGCCCTCCCCGTGACTCGAGGTCTCCCGAACGGGGTCCGAGATGGCGGGGACGGTGGATCGCCCCATTTACGGCGAGGGTTTCCGCTGGGCATCCCGAGTCGTGTTCCTCAAACAGTGCTTCTATGCTGGGGCTCTTACGTCTATTGCATTCCGAGTCTTCGCCACGTTGCGGCCCGTGCCGCTTGTTGGGCGCCTCGTGGGAGCCCCACGCTTGGGGGGATGCCGAGGTTGCCGCCCCTGACGCCTCGCGGGCGCCTCGTTCGGGGGAGGAGGGTACGCCGAGGCTGCACACAGTCAACCACCGCATCCCTTACGCCGCATATCTTGCACAATAGCCTGCATCATACAGTCTACACTCCATACCTTTCACCCCCAGTGCACACGGCCTAGCCTATGCGGCATAGTTTAAACCACATAGTTTGCACCGCATAGTTTTCACATGCACAGCTTACACGACACAGCTTGCACGACACAGCTTTCACCACACAGCTTATACCGCATAGCTTACACCTCCACATTGCAGCAACGCACTGCTTGGAGACGACGCGCTGGTTGGGGCCCACATTTGCAGCTCCGGGAGATTGTGCTTACGCAGTGTAGTGTTATTCAGTCTGCCCCCCTTCCTCGGGGCCGGCTCATCAGCCCGAGTCGTTCTGTGGACGGTCCCGGGCCCCGGTGAGGGCCCCGGGAGCGGCGACGAGTCGCTTCAGCTGCACGCCGAAAGGGTGGGCACGGTGGGCAGGCCGAGCAAGAGGCGCAAGGCGCGGCGGCGTACGGCCCACGCCCCACGCCCTGCTGGGCGGTCCCTTCCCGTGCTCGGCCATGTAAACAATGTGTCGAGTTCCCAGCATGGACTTCAATCAGTGGGTTCGCGCACTGTCGGTGTTCGCTCCATGTGGTGCAGCAAACGAGAGGCAAGCTACGATGTGCAATCTACGAGGTGCAATACATATATATATATACACACACAAGACTGCAGTGGCGCTTCGCGCCATGCACCTTGGTCCTTGAACATTGCTACGCAGGCGGAAAAGGCAGGAAGGTCAAGCGGGCACTTTAAAGATAACTCCTTGCTGCCTTTTCTGGCATCGCCGTTCTAATTATGTTGTTCGTTATTCTTCATCCATGCTTATTTTCCTCATTCTCGCCATACCCCGGGCATTCTCCCCATCCTCCCCTTTTTGCGGAGGCTCCTCCTTGGAGAGCCTTTGGAGCCTCACCAAAGTTCTCAAGCTTTCTTAAAGCCTTCTGGAGGCCTCCTGGGCGTGTTCTGGGGGCCTCTGGGGCTTCCTAAGGCCAACCTGCCTCTAATCGCGGTCTCTCTGAACGCCCCGGTCACGATTTGGAATGCTTCGGAGGGGGGTTTGTCTTGGGACCATCTTGGGCCGCCATGGGGCTCTCTCAGGGCCATTTTGGACCCCTGGTGTGCCGTTTTGGGGCTCTCTTGGACTGCCTGGAAGCCCTTTCGGATGGCTGTGGGGCGATTTTGGAGCCTCACAGGCGACTCTGGACGCCCAGAAGACCGCTGTCTTGGAGCGTCGGGAAGCCGAAAAGAACAGAACCCCAAATTCACCCAAAACCTACATTAAATCAATGATTTCTCCCTCTTGGGGCCTTCTTGGGGGTGCTCTTGGAGGCCTCTTGGTACGTTTTGGAGCGATCTTTCGGGGTATGACGGCTTCTGGGAGCGCTCTTGTGATGTCTTTTGGTTCTCCAGGACGTCTCCGATGACCCCCCTGATCGCCCTAGGTGTGCTGCGAAGGCTTGGCAAAGCGCCCTGCGAGGCCCAGGGGGCCGCTTCGAGGCCCGTCCGAAGGGCCCCAAAGCCCCAGATCCCGGGAGTCTGTTTTTTTTTTGGGGGGGGGACGGGTTTCCCCCCCGCCCGGGCTTGTAAGAATATAGGACGAGGACTATATGTAATGGTCAGCGTGTATGGTGCAGGCTATGCGGGCCAATACATGTGGTGCAATGTATGGGGCGCCATCTGTGTGTAGGCTGCGCAATGCAAGCTGTTTCGTGCGAGCTATGTGGTGCTTATTTGGTGCAATGTATGACGTGCAAGCTACGTGGTGCAACATAGCTGGCGCGAGCTACGTCCGACCGTCTTCATGTCGTCAACTCCAAGACTCGCTCAAACATCCCATCCCCTCACCAGCAACTGATGCGGCCGCGATGGCGCTTACCGATGTGACCTCCCAGCGCGTCGCAAAGGTTGCGCTTGCGCGCGCGTGCCTCAGTGCGGATTGGTGACCTCGGCGGGCGCGATGTCATGATTGGTGGCGTCTACATCGGCGACAACGATGATGATCATAGCGATGGTGGCGGCGATGGTTGCATTTACAATGGCAAGGCCAATGACGTCACCGATGCCAGGGACGACGATGACGATGACGATGTCCATGCGTTGGTGATGAAAGTGGTTATGAGGATGATGATGGTGGTGGCAATGGCAGCGACTGGCGATGACGATAACGGCGATGATGCGACGGTGTTGGTGAGCGTGATGAGGAAGTGCGCGCGCGCAGAGATGTAAGACCATTGGCAGGCCCGATTGTTGAAGTACGGCTGTTTGTTCATGTGTGTTGGAGGAGCTCTGCTGTGAAATGCCTCGGGCGCCAAATCTTCTGGAAGTGTTTCGACTTTCGACACGCGCGCCTGGCGGCGCGAACATGTGGCCCGCATGTTAGATTATCGCGCGGACTGGACGGGATTGTTAAGTCATGACGTTTTCATCCGATGTCAGAGCTTCAGAGAGTGCGCGCGGACATAATGTCGGCCATAGCTTCGGAGTTGGATTTCTCCCGTATTGGCCGAGCCCGGGGCCATTGCTTGATTTGCATGTTGCTTTTTGCACGGCTATGTACTAGCGATCGCTCTTGGGGTTGTGTTTGATCATGCATCTGTGCAGCTAGGCTGGCGCTAGGGCGGTGTGCCATTCTCCGTGGACTGATTGCTCTTCTCCCCCCTTCGCGTCGTGCCAGCTTGCCCTATTGTCCCTCCTTCGCTTCGTGTCCGCTATTCTTCTCTTCCCAGGCGAAGCTCCAGGAACAAAACCAATAATATCGGCCATAGCTTGTTGAGAAACCGTTTGTGTTTGTTCTTAGTGTTCTTAAGCTGACAGGCTTACACCACTGAGGTGTTTTGCTTGGTGCTGTTATGTGCGCGAACGCGTGTGGCCAGTGCATTGTGTTACAACGGCACTCTTGCAACAATGACATGGTTTACATAATCGAGTTTGCGCGCATCGTATCATTAGGGGGCGATGTCGGTTTGGATGGGATGCGATGCATTCATATGGAGATGTAAAGATGGGGCACACTAATATGTAATTTACAGACAGAAGAGGTGAACGGTGAAGTCCTGGCTCGGGAGAGGGGGTCTTATGATTTTCTTGAACGGGGAACAGATGTGGCAGAGTCTAAGTCGTGCAGCAGACGTCCTGCCTCAGACGCGGGGCAGGTTACGTGGCTTGCGTCACCCACGTGGTGAAACGTATATGGTGCAAGCTATGTACATGTTGGAGACGCGAGCCAGCACACGAGGCAGTAACGAGGCGGGAACGGGCGCCCACCAGCCGAAAGTCGGGAACCGCGAGCCAGCCTGGGCAACGGCAAAGGCAGTCACGGGGCGGGGGCGAGGCGGGCCACGGCAAGGGCGCCTACTGGCTGAAAGTCCAGAACCACCGGGCAGGCACGAGGCTGGCATCGGCGCCCACCGGCCGGACGTCCAGAACCGCATGCCGATTACTTCGAGACGCGAGTAAGTGCAAGCATTGTTTGAGGACAAATTTGATGCAGAGATTCTGAGAGCGCTCCAGAGCACTCCAGAGCAGACACGGCCTCCCGCACATACTCCGAATCCGCAGCCTCGTGGAGGTCTCCGAGCCATTCGCGACCGACGTGTCTGCATTCTGCACGCATCTTACCGTCCAGGCCCTCTCTCCGGCCATCCGCCCTCATCCTGGGGGGTGGCGAGGAGGGCATGGTCCAGGTCTCCCGCAGGAACGCGAAGATACCTACGCTTCGCGATCTGGGCCCGAGATCTGTCACTCTCTATGGGAGCTGCGCAAGAAGGCGTGAATGTCTCCGCGACTTGCGAGCCACAGCGCCTGAACCCGACGAACTGCATGGAACCCCGAGGCCTCCAAGGCGCCACTCTGGCAATCTGCCATCAACTTGGGGGAAGGCGAGGAGGGCATCACGAGCGGGGCTGTTTGGTCGCACCCTTGGCAGGGCGAGCTCCAAGGTGGAGGTTGACCTCATGGACGAGGCGTCCCAGGAGCTGGTCAGTATCGTTTCATCGATCCCTTTCCCCATCCCCATCCCCATCCCCACACTCCCACCACCCCAGATGGGGATCGACCCCTCGAAACCCGAAGGAAACAGCCTGTACCTTTATCCAGTGGGTGAATGGCCAGTGGGGCCCAGGCCACGCCAGTGGGAATAGGGATCGGTGAAACGATGCTCATGGAAGGGAGGCTGGAGGAGGAGGAGGAGGAGGAGGAGGAGGAGAAGGAGGAGGCTGAAGGCTTGAGGGGGAGGAGGCTGGAGACAGCGGCGCCTGGTCAGCCGACGCCCGCTCAGGACGGCGGCGACCTCTGGAACGTCGAAGAGCATGGCTTTCTGCCCCGCAACGACCCGGTCGGCGTCGAGGCGCTCCACGGCACCGGCTTCGAGGTCTTCGCGCGGCTGGCGGACGACCTGCCCTCCCTGGGCATCACAGGGGAGTTGCGGACCATTCGAAGGAGAACAAATTGCGCAATCATACATTGGGGGAGCTCCGCGCCGATTTCTTGGATCGGCGTTGTGTTCCCGTGGCGGCGCCTCCGGCGCAGTTCTTGGCGCGCTCCGCGCGCCAGGGACGGGAGCACAGCGCCTAACCAAGGAATCCGCGCGGAGCTCCGAAAGTGTATGTTTATGCCGTTTCTTATTCTTCTAACCATGTTGGACACGGACCTGGATCTGCAGAGGCGAATGCGGGCAGCCACAGACGACGTGGAGCTGCTGCAGCAGGATGAGGCAGAGCGTGCCTTCGCCGTCGTGGGGTACACGATGGTGGCCTACTGGCGCAGCGGGAAGCTGGAGCACACCCAGGGGCTGGACATTTCGCGCAGCAGCGGCGGAGGTGGCTGCGCGCCGCAAGGCGGCAGCTGCGCAATGGACGCCTCCGCGGACCACTTGCCCGCGTTTCTCGCCGAGCCCATGCTGGCCCTCAGCAAGCGGCTGCAGCGCCCACCGATGGTAGATTATGCCTCCACCGTGCTGTACAACTGGGTTCGCATCGACCCAGCTGGCCCGATCTCCATGACGAACGTCAGGTGTGCGGTACGGCTTACAGGGTTGCTCGACGAGGAGTGGTTTTTCAAGACGCACGTCGTCATCGAGTCTGAGGCTTCGCATGTGATCTCAGCTGTGATCGGTGCCATGAGGGCCGCAGAGGCGGAGGAAGAGTCGGAGTTGTTGGAGCACCTGGTTTCTCTAGAGGACTGGGAGACCCCTGTCGATCTCGCCACTCTGGTCCGGGTCCCCCCCTCTCTCCTCATTTTCGCTCATGGGCGGAAGTGGGGGGATTTGCATAACTTAACAAGGGTCTTCCTTAGGATGCCATGTGGCGAGTTGTTCGGGCGTGCCTCCCCATCATGTACGAGCGAGACGTCTCGGGTACGCCGAAGTGTTGTCCGGACATCTTCTACACGATCTTGCGGCCGCTCATCAAGTCTGGTGACCTGGTCTTCGAGGGCGAGTCGGGGCCACGCTCCATCTTTCTGAATGGGCCCTCCGGAGCTATGAGCACCCTGCTCCCAGCCGTTGATGCTGCGCTTGGCATTAAGATGACGTCCGATAAGCTTCGCGCGGCGCTGGAGAAGTTCGAGCTCTCGATGCCTCGAGGCCATCGTGAGTTTCTCGCGAAGCTTCGCGGGCAAACGTCCATTCGGCAGCGCCTCATGCTCTTCCGACCCGAGGAGGGCATCGCCACGGAGCAGCACGCCGCGTTGGTGCGCTCCTTCAACCGCTGCGTATCCCGCGTGCTGGACTTCAGATGGCAGCATTGGACGTACGTCAAGAACTTCATCCTGAGGCCTGGGAACATATCCCACGGCATGGGTTCAGGTGGCACTACGTTCGATTACCTGCAGCAGCACATCCCGATGAACAAACAGTTGCATAAACGTAAACTGTCGGAGGTCCGCGCGGATTTCTTGGATTGGCAATGGACTGCCGTCCCTGGCACGCGCGGAGCGCAAAAGGGGCGGCGCCGGAGGCGCCGCCAGAGGGGCCTTGCGCCGATCCAAGAAATCCACGCAGAGCTCCGATACGGTTGGGGCGGTGATTGAGGACTGTGCCCAGGAGGCTGCTTCAGACCCTGGGGGTCCCTACCTCATGAGGGCGGCCGTGATGCCCATGGGTTTCACTGGCCTCCGGACCCTGGATTCCCGACCCGATGATTCCTCATCTGATGCCCTCACCGTGTAACCCGTGTTTATGCCGTTTTTTGGGGTTCGTCGGACCTCACGGACACCGAGCGCGCACGGCTCACCGAGCGGGCCGAGGGCTTCCTGCGCACGGTCTCCTCCCCAGGCGAGCCCGAGCCCGCGCTGCCCCCGCTGCGGCTTTCGGGGGCGGAAAAGAAGGGGGTGATGACTGGGGGGGGTGGATTTCATGGCGCGGGCCATGATTTTTCCTCAGATTTCATGGCGCCTCTTCTTATTTCATTACGGCCCTGGCCCCCCCGCTGGGCCGCGCACATGCCGCCGGTCATGATTTGCACCCCCCCCTCTTGGACACCCCCCTCTTTGCCGCTCCCGAGGCTTCCCCCAGAGCCGCTGCGGCTCCACCCGTCGCTCGAGTTCTGGAGCGTGGACAGCCAGCACGGCCTGCTGTCGCGGGAGCCGCTCATGGGCCCCCGAGCGCGCGACTGGACGCAGGTCGCGGGCCGGAAGCATGGCCACACCCTCAAATCTGGGCGTCGCACCGTGTTCACCACGGGCGTGTTCGCCCAGTTTCTGGCCCCGGGACCCACAGATCGACACGGAAAATGCCGAGGAAAGGTCAGGTCTAGGGCTCCAGTCGTGATTTCTCGCGAATCTCAGGGACCATGTCCACTCTATCTCGCGGGCCGGGCCCCAAGGCCGCGGTCTTATGGCTAGCTTTAGTTTTTCGTGGATGCCCCGCGCGGAACGCATCCATGCGACCGCGTATACACGGAATCACGCCCTGTCTGAGGCCCGCGCGGAACGCATCCATATGCGACCGCGCATCCAAGGGACCGCGTCCCCCCGAATCCAGACCGCGAGGGCGTGGAGATTGATACCCTGCCGTCCACAGATCTGATTTTTCAACCTGCGGCCCCAGAGGTCCCGACCGCTTGTGCATAAACCCATTGCCCTCTGCTTTTGACTGTGCTGAGAGATTTGTTTGGATATCATGACGTCATGTGCGCCATCAACGTTTCGGCTCACTTCTCCAGGCAAGCATCCCGAGAAAAGATCTCACCATGGTAGCGGAGCCGTGGTCCCCGCCGACGTCGACGAGCGGGGGTTCCGCGGCTCCCGGCCCCGCGGGCGCAAGTGCCTCGCACGGTCCAGGAGCGCCTGGAGACCAGCAGCGGCTGGCGACGGATAGCACGGGCTGTGCGGAAGTTGTTCAAGTTTAGGCGCCTGTGGTCAGCTTTCGGCAACCATCTGAAGCCTTTCACGGCGCTCAAGCCTTCATCAGAGCGCTGTCGTTGAGATGGCGACTGAAGGGATAATCCAGCAGTTGGAGAGAGCGGTGCAGGCCATGACGCAGGAGCTCCAAAAACGACAGACTTGAGAGAACGAGCTGACGGCCGAGGTGCAGCGCCTTGGCCGAGCTGCAGCGGGCGGAGCCCCACCGCCGGCCGTTGCGGCGGTTGCGCCTCGAGTGGACCCCCTGGTGGACACGCGGACGCTTGGCAAACCTGATGTGTCCACTGGAGAGGAGCACAAGTGGAAAGACTGGAAGATCATCTTCAGAGCGTACTGTGCAGTTGTGAAACCCAGACCTAGTCATCGGGATGCGTCGGGCTGAGAGCGCCGACTGTGCTCATCGACGACCTCGCCGAAGAGCTTCTCCAGAGGGCTTCGAAACAGCTGTCTTACATCCTCTTCCTCCTCTGCCGCCAGCATCCCCTGACCACCAACGTCAATAGCGGCGAGAACGAAGGCTTCCAGGCGTGGCGCAAGTTGGGAGAGTACTACGAACCGAACGCGCGGTTTCGGATCGCTGGCCAGCTGCTCAACCTCCTGCACTTCACGTTTGCTGGCGATGTCGAGGACAGGCTACCGCTCTTCGGGCGAGAGCTGATTCGGTACGAGCAGCGGAGTGGCGAGATCCTCTCGGCTTCAGTGAGGATAGGTATTTTGCCGCGCCATGTTGGAGGAAGGGTCCCTGCGGCAACACCTCTTGCTCAATGCGACCTGGCTTGTGGAGTGGCAGGACTTCCGCCGGGAGGTCATGGACATCCGCAGGGCCCAGAGTGCGATCGCCCCAGTCCCCGCGCCGATGGGCTGAGCGTCTTCGCCAAGGGTGGCAAAGGCAATGGCAGGGGCGACGGCAGGGGCAATACCAAGGGCGACGGCAAAGGCAAGGGTAGGAGCGACGGAGAGGGAACGCCAAGTCTGCCGGCAAGAGCAAGGCCAGCCGAGTCAAGGGCCATGGGCGGAACCTCGGGCTTCTCTGCTGGGGCCGCGGCGGTCGAGGCCACGCCCAACGAGAGTGCCCCAGCAAGAACAGGGCCACGCTGGCGAGCATGGAGCAGGCACCGTCGCGCCTGAACCAGCATCATCGGCTTGCAATGGACCCCGGCGCGGCCGGGCCGGCTCCATCGGCGCCCATGTCAGCCACCTCGACCTCGACAGCTGCGACCGCGAGGATAGGTCCAGCATCATCTTCGACGAGTGGGGCGTCTCGGCAGATCGCGGCGCTCTACCTCTGACAGCGAGCAGGTTAGCCACCCGCTCGCGAACTTCCACTCCCTCACCCTGAACGACCCGGGGCTTACGATGGCGGACGGCGTCGACTCCGTGATCGGTGCGGCCCTGGACGTGAACGTGATCCACGGCGTCGCGGAAGCGGAGGAGGTTGAGCTCAACGGCGTCTCGCGCGTGGGCATCGGCTCGCGCGCAGCGGCCTTATCGCTGCCGCGCGGCTCGCGCGCGGACAAACCTGTGCGCGAGAGTCCTGGGGGGGTTCCCCTACGAGACCGCCTTCGGCCACTGCGTGGCTGACGAGGGCTAGAGGCTCCTCGTGGTGGAGATGCCTGGAGCTTCCCAGGCACGCGCCGCCAAGTTCAGGGTGGTGGACGTCAGCATGCCGTTGCTGAGCGTCGCAGAGATGGTCGACTCAGGCCATCGGCTCGCCCTCGGCTCCGAGGGCGGGCGAGTTGTTAGCTACGCGCGCCGCGAGACCAGCGGAGATGTCAGAAAGTTCTGCCGCGGGAGCAAGGTCTGCGATATTGACATGCACGTCGGCCCCAACGCGCCGGAGGTCCGCCCCGTGGATGCGGCGGGTCCAGAGCCTCCCGGGGGCCAGGCCGGGCAGTCAGGTCCGGTCCACGAGGGCGTCGCTGAGGGCCCCGCGGCGCGTCCGGCTAGGGGGCCCGCAGCCCCGACGGCGGCCGATCGAGCCGGGCATGATGTGCTGCACGAGCCCTACAGGGCCCGTCGCCGGGAGCGAGTCCTCGGCGGTGGCCTGTCAGCGGGCCGCCGCGCCACAGACCGCCGGGAGGCTGCTCTCGCGGCGGTCGGCGCCGACTGCGGCTATTTTGGCGCGAGCGAGGACGGGGCGACTGCGCTGACTGGCAAGGGCCCCAAGCAGCGCCGGTTCCGCGCGCCCATGGTGCCGGCCAAAGGGGCGCAGCATCCTTGGCCGGAGAAGTCGCGGTCGAAGAGGCTAGCGCTGGCTGGCCACAAGCGCTTCGTCTCCCGTTCGGATGGCGAGGCTTCTCTCGTCGCCTTGAAGACCCACGTCGCAGCCAAGCTCAAGGGGGACCGCGGCGTCGAGACTCCCGAGGAGAGCGCAGTCGGGGACCCCCAGGGCAATGGCCTCGCCGAGCACGCTGCGCGCGAGGTGCAGGCCAAGATCGGGGCCGCGAGGGCGGAGGTCGACGACCTCCGCGGCGTGGGCATCGGCGCCGACCACCTGGTGATCCCGCGGATTGTCGAGTGCGCGGCGATGTCGATCAACCTGGGCGCGCGGCGCCGATGGTCGGGCCGCGTGGGGTCTCAGGCGAGGCCGGGTCTTCGGCAGGGATCTCGCTTGCTTCTCGGAGAAGGTTTTGCGCCTCCCAGGGGGCAAGCGGAAGGTCGGCATCGAGGACCAGTTCCTCTCTGGGTTCTACCTCGGGCCCGCGCCGCGCACCTGCGAGGCCTGCGTCGGCGCGGAGCTCGGCGCGCTGCGCACCAGGACCTTCAAGCAACTACCGATCGACCAGCGAAGCGACAAGGACATGCTGAACGCTCTCGCGGGGAAACCGTGGGCGCCTGTGCAGGCGTCTGCGGCTATTGACGAGGTGCCGGTGGCCATCGAGATCCGCGTGCCAGGGCCGGATGCGCCGGCTGGCGCCGCATGCCGCAGGTCGTGCCAGCCGACGCTCCAGTGCCACCAGTCCCCGATGGAGTGGATCCCCCACCTCGGGCTCCTCGAGGCGCGCGCGCGGCCCAGTGCCGGGCCGCGAGCCATCTACATCAGGAAGGACGTCGAGATCGCGAAGTATGGCACCACCCTTGGCTGCCACCGCGGCGCTGCGATCCTCCCCGGTGCTCGGGCGCAGGCTCGCCCTGCCGAGCGCCGCGCTCGGGTCGAGCAGGCGATGCTCGAGGGCGACGCGGCGCGGCAGAGGCTCGAGGAGGTCCGAGATCGGAAGCGACAGCGTGGGGGTTGGCGGGGTAGGCGGTTCGTCAGACAGCGGCGGGCCGGCCCCAGTGGCGCCAGCGCCGGAGGCCGCGCCCGCCGCAGATGCGGACATGGCCCTGGCCCCTCCAGACCCGAACGACGGCGACCTGCAGGAGGAGATCGAGGCGCTGCTGCTTTTCGGTTACACCGGGCGCAAGGTTGACTTGATGGAGGTTCTGCCCGAACCGGCTCGTTGGCTTTGCGCCGCTCTTCGGGCAGATCCGCGGCGGCGCGTTCGACGTCAAGGTCGGCTGGGACTTGTCCGAGCGCCGCCAACATCAGCAGTGCCGCGAGCTAGTTGAGCACTGCCAGCCGTACTTCCTCCTGGGCAGCCCTCGCTGCGCGCCGTTTTCCACGCTGAAGTACCTGACCGAGGATTCCGAAAAGCAGCGCCAGGCCTATGCCATCAGGCACGAGCATCTGAGGTTTGTGATGGAGTCGCACGCGCTGCAGGTCGCGAGTGGCCGCGCGTTCTGGGGCGCCGACAGCTGGGCGTGGATATCGCGAAGGACGTGATGGCCCTCCCCGGCGCGGTGGTCGGGCGAGGGGGCCAGCGCGCGTTCGGCCTCGCGGCCCCGCGCGCGCGCGGCGACAGGCTCGCCGAGGAGCCGACAGGGTGGATGAGCAACAACATGGAGGTGTTGGCTGAGGTTTGCAGGCGCTGCCCTGGCGGCGCAGGGATTGGCCCTCAGCACGAGCGCCCCGCATTCGTCGGCCGTAACATGCGCGTGGCGGAGAGGTGCCCGATGAAGCTCCTCCGAGCCATGTATCGCGGTCTCCGCCAGCACCTCTCGAACAAAAAGGTGCTCACTCCATCGGCCCTCGATGCGGGGCCTCCGCGAGGGCCGCTTTCAGCTTGCCGAGGTCCTGGGCAAATCCAATCTCGCGGGCCTGGGCACCAAGTACCTCGATCAGGCAGCAGTGCTGCGAGCTTTGAGCACGATGAATGTAAGGCTCGTAAGGCTCTCGGATGCGCCCGTCTCGAGTGCCCATCCAGGCGAAGGTCTAGGGGGCACGTCTACTACGACGGCAAATTTGGCCTGCAATTCTTCAGCCTCCACGCCATCTGTTGTCTTGGAAGGGCTACGGTCGGTGGCGATGGTTGGTGCTTGCTCTGGGCACGTCCGAGTGCTCGAATTGATCATGTAACATCTGTGCTGTTGAGACCAGGCTCTGTTTTGCATGGGTTTGAGACGTGCCTGGACAAAGTAGCTGGGCGGCACGAAGGGGGCTGCACAAACCCATAGCCCCCTGCTTCGATTGTGCTGAGAGTGTGTTTGGATATCATGACGCTGTGTGGGCAAATGACGTTTCGGCTCACCTCTCCAGGCAAGCACCCCGGGAAAAGATCTCACCAGCTTGCTTGTAGACAATATTTCTATGGCCCCAGGGTTTAGTGGGCACTGGAAGCGACAGGGCCGCTTGTCACTGATCCCGTTGTGTTGTTTTTGTTTCTGGTTCCGTCGCCGTTTTTCTGCTAGTTCCGTCGCGGTTTTTTTCCCCGTTCCAGCTACGGCTCCAATCTTGGAGCCGTTTTTGTTGCCGTTTACGGTCGCCGTTTCTTACCGTGTCCATATTCAAGATCATTTTTTCGGAAGCGGACAAACAACAGTCTTGCCGCTTCCAGGACCCACTAAGCCCCGGGGTTTGGTAACGGCCTCTAGGGGCTGATATTTGTAAACGTTGCCAGGGTTGGAATCAGAACCCTGGCAAAGCACCCTCATAGCAGCAGAGGTGACGGGTCGAGAGGTATAGGAAAAGCGCGGCCGGGAAACCCAAACGATGGAGCCAGGGCACGCGCGAGAGCATGGCTATGTGCACCGTTTTTTGTCCCCAGGGACCGTGGCCAAGCATGTCGCCAGCATGGAGACGAGAACACGCGTCCTGAATGAATTGCGAGCAAGGCTAAGGCGAAACGGCTGCCAGACCGCCTCCGGACCGGGCGGTCTCGGGCTCCCCGTCCCGTCTTGCGGGTTTTTTCAGTGGCGACTTTTTGTCATTGGCTGCATATTGTTGGCCGCGGAAGCGGCTTCCGACAAAGGGCTTCTTGAAGATGGAAGCGGTAACAACAACGGCGATTGGAAACAACACGGCTCCGGGATCGGAACCCGGGAAACAAGTTGCGCCGCAACAGGGGGAGAACGGCGCCAGAACTGGCAAAACAACGGAACAACGACATTGGTGAACAAAAATTGTGTGTCGATTCCAGGGCCAACTGAGTGGTATAATCCTCTAGCGAAATCGTATCGACGGAGATTTGGGTATGTTCCCTGCTCGCGAGCAGGGTCTGTCGCCTGCGCTCCGAGACGCGCTGGTGGCGCTCAACGCGTTGGCGCGCCGGCTGCCGGCGCTGTGCACATCGGAGGGGCCGTTCAGGAGTTAGGGGCAACGCTGGGGGTTCGGGGTGCCTCCACTCTCAGGGTGAGGAGTTCGACGTTTTAGCTTTTCAATGAGTTTCGTCGGATCTCGGCGTGTTTTCCAGCCTCGGGGCGCTCAGGGTGCTCTGGGGGTGGATCGTCCCAGATACGGCCGCCGGAGGCACGACTTATGGCCTGAAAGCCACGCGGGAATGGCGATAGACTCAAAAGGGGGATTCTCGCAGGCGTAGAGGTTGACACCAACACCAATATCGGTGGTGTGCCTCCACCGAAAGAAGGAGATCCCGATCTCGGCGATGGTGGTAATATGCTGGCTCCCAAGGTGACCGAACTATTGCCACCAACACCGAAATCTCGGATCATCTTCCCCATGTGGAGGCAAGCCCCTGTGTTGGTGTTGGTGCCCATATCTAGGCCTCCCAGATTCATCGACACCCGATCGCCCACTGATCGCCGATAGGGGCCCGTTAGCCCGCCCGCCCCAGGAGCATGCGGCTTCGCTTCTGGGGGCCTCTCGCCGATCTATCGGCGGTGTGCCGCCGCTTCCAGCTCGACGTTTCCCCCCCGCCCACCCACCCCCCGAGCCGATCGCCCCCTGCTGCCCCTCAAGGAGGGAGGTGGAGGCGACGACCGACCGGCTGGCCGCGCTGCAGGACGACCGGCTTCTCCTGGGCATGCCCGAGATGGGGCGGGAGCTGGGGCAGGAAAACTCCTCGGAGGGGGGAAGGATGCAGTGGGGGCGCGCATCAAGAGACCATGTGTTTTTTCCATCAGGGCACCTAGGGCTTATTCGCTCGCGCGCTACGCGCTGACTTTAGGAAAAGCCGCTGCGCTCAGGTTGCTCAGGGTTCTCCCTAGTTGCACCTCGCGCGCTGGTTTTCAGTGTTTGGTTTCTTGTGAAAACTCCTTGGTCGGGATTCTTGGGAGGGCGGAGAAACTTTGCGGTGAAGCTCCAGGTAGGAAAAGAATCAGATCCTGATTTCCGACGATGTGACATTTTTCAGGCCAGGCGTTTTTTCTAGATTTCGACCTGCGGGGCCCGTTGCCGGGAGGGCCGTTCAAAGTGGACCCTGGGCGAGAAGTTGCAGCCGGCCGCGGATTTGAAACGTCGTACTGGCAGATGTCAAAGAAGATACTGGTACCGTTGCTCGTCCTGGAGAGCCTCCGTCGTCACGGCTGGATTCTTCTCGAAGTTTTGGTCAGAGTATCTTTATTGGCACCGTTGGGCCCCCAAACTTCGCCATGGAGCAGGCGGGTCCCGAGGTAAACTGGCCCCGAGGTTTTGTCGCCGTCTTCGGGCTCCCAGGGTCCTCCACGGGCCCCCGGGTCATCAAAAAACGGCTCAGGATGAAGAGCTGGTTTTGGCAGGGGATCTTGGTGTCCAGGCCCCGTCTCCTCCTGCCAAAACTTCATGCAGTCAAGCGCACCTCTCCCGTGTATCAGAGTGCATGGGCAAAGCAAGTCCCGATCTGCTAGTCTTCGATCGCACTTCCGCTTGGCTGGAAGGACAAATGCCGACGCCAACATTTCATTGGGATCATAGCCCCCCCCAATCGCGAATATGAGTGAGGGGGCCGGGTGTCGTTGTCGCTTTCTGGGACAGTTCGAAAGGACATGGAAAAAAACCCACCGTAGGCGCCGATTTTCGTTTGTTTTTCCCAACCATCCTGTGGTGTTGGGTCTTCGTTTTGAAGAGACGGTGCCCCGCGTTCCTCTCCTTCCTCCTCCCCCTCCTCCCCCTCCTTGCCTCTGCTCTCGGCACACCTCTCACGCGTTTCGTAGCCCCATAGGGAGCTCCACCGAAGGCCCCAGTGGGGGTGTTCGCATGCGGTTCCCCCACCCAGGGCAGCGTTTCGTGGCCCCATAGGGAGCTCCACCGAAGGCCCCAGTGGGGGTGTTCGCATGCGGTTCCCCCACCCAGGGCAGCGTTTCGTGGCCCCATAGGGAGCTCCACCGAAGGCCCCAGTGGGGGTGTTCGCATGCGGTTCCCCCACCCAGGGCAGCGTTTCGTAGCCCCATAGGGAGCTCCACCGAAGGCCCCAGTGGGGGTGTTCGCATGCGGTTCCCCCACCCAGGGCAGCGTTTCGTGGCCCCATAGGGAGCTCCACCGAAGGCCCCAGTGGGGGTGTTCGCATGCGGTTCCCCCACCCAGGGCAGCGTTTCGTAGCCCCATAGGGAGCTCCACCGAAGGCCCCAGTGGGGGTGTTCGCATGCGGTTCCCCCACCCAGGGCAGCGTTTCGTGGCCCCATAGGGAGCTCCACCGAAGGCCCCAGTGGGGGTGTTCGCATGCGGTTCCCCCACCCAGGGCAGCGTTTCGTAGCCCCATAGGGAGCTCCACCGAAGGCCCCAGTGGGGGTGTTCGCATGCGGTTCCCCCACCCAGGGCAGCGTTTCGTGGCCCCATAGGGAGCTCCACCGAAGGCCCCAGTGGGGGTGTTCGCATGCGGTTCCCCCACCCAGGGCAGCGTTTCGTGGCCCCATAGGGAGCTCCACCGAAGGCCCCAGTGGGGGTGTTCGCATGCGGTTCCCCCACCCAGGGCAGCGTTTCGTGGCCCCATAGGGAGCTCCACCGAAGGCCCCAGTGGGGGTGTTCGCATGCGGTTCCCCCACCCAGGGCAGCGTTTCGTAGCCCCATAGGGAGCTCCACCGAAGGCCCCAGTGGGGGTGTTCGCATGCGGTTCCCCCACCCAGGGCAGCGTTTCGTGGCCCCATAGGGAGCTCCACCGAAGGCCCCAGTGGGGGTGTTCGCATGCGGTTCCCCCACCCAGGGCAGCGTTTCGTGGCCCCATAGGGAGCTCCACCGAAGGCCCCAGTGGGGGTGTTCGCATGCGGTTCCCCCACCCAGGGCAGCGTTTCGTGGCCCCATAGGGAGCTCCACCGAAGGCCCCAGTGGGGGTGTTCGCATGCGGTTCCCCCACCCAGGGCAGCGTTTCGTGGCCCCATAGGGAGCTCCACCGAAGGCCCCAGTGGGGGTGTTCGCATGCGGTTCCCCCACCCAGGGCAGCGTTTCGTAGCCCCATAGGGAGCTCCACCGAAGGCCCCAGTGGGGGTGTTCGCATGCGGTTCCCCCACCCAGGGCAGCGTTTCGTGGCCCCATAGGGAGCTCCACCGAAGGCCCCAGTGGGGGTGTTCGCATGCGGTTCCCCCACCCAGGGCAGCGTTTCGTAGCCCCATAGGGAGCTCCACCGAAGGCCCCAGTGGGGGTGTTCGCATGCGGTTCCCCCACCCAGGGCAGCGTTTCGTGGCCCCATAGGGAGCTCCACCGAAGGCCCCAGTGGGGGTGTTCGCATGCGGTTCCCCCACCCAGGGCAGCGTTTCGTAGCCCCATAGGGAGCTCCACCGAAGGCCCCAGTGGGGGTGTTCGCATGCGGTTCCCCCACCCAGGGCAGCGTTTCGTGGCCCCATAGGGAGCTCCACCGAAGGCCCCAGTGGCTGTTCGCATGCGGTTCCCCCACCCAGGGCAGCGCTTCGTGGCACCATAGGGAGCTCCACCGAAGGCCCCAGTGGCGCAGTTCGCATGCGGTTCCCCCACCCAGGGCAGCGTTTCGTAGCCCCATAGGGAGCTCCACCGAAGGCCCGCCCCGGTGGCGCAGTCCGCATGCGGTTCCCCCATCCAAGGCAGCGCTTCGTGGCCCCATATGGAGCCCCACCGAAAGCGGCACCCACAACGCGCTACCAACAATTGCTTATGGTTGGGTCTTTCGCCAGGATAATTTGAAAAGTTGCTGGTGGGTCGCAAGTGGGTCGCGGGGCAGAACGCGGGTAGGTCACGGGGCGGGTGCGACAAACAAAAATTACAATCTTCACCGCTGCACCCCTCATCAGCCACGCTCCCATAGACAGTGTAAGACCGTTCGGCCGACCTCACTCTGGAGACAAACTTTGAGATCTGGCACTCGAATGAGTGAGGTATCGGGCTAATATGCCACCAGGCTGGCTGCGGCTCGACACCGAGTCACGAACATATTCAAGTGACAGGCAAGCTTCATACATGCTAGTTTGTCTATACAGACATACAGATCGACCACGTGATCAATCATACATGCCTGAACGTTCGTAATTTGATAACCTCAACATGAACCATGACAAAGCTTTACAACGGCCACCACGACTTCCGCGTGTTTCAGGTATTCTGTATTGTGCGTGTCCTCGATCAGTTTGTCTGCAAGGGTGCTATTTACACAGTTTCTAAGGCCGTGTGCGAGATTATTTGGATCCGGGAATGGTGGTGGGTGGCCAATGGTATCCTGTATGGCCTCCCGCATGTCCTTCCGTTTGGTCTTCCGCATTGTTTTTGGTGTGGTGATTTGATAGTTTCTTGCATGGTCACCAGCAGGTCACCCCGATGGTCTCTGTTTCAATTCTCTCGCGAGTGCGCTTTGTATTATCACTAGTACGTCTTATGTCTGATATGAGTGGTGATAGTAATAGTATTGGTAGTAGTCCTCGTAGTAGTAGTAGTTGTAGTAGTAGTAGTAGCAGCAGTAGTTGTAGTAGTAGCAGAAGTAGTAGTAGTAGTAGTAGTAGTAGTAGTAGCAGGAGTAGTAGTAGTAGTAGTAGTAGTAGTAGTAGTAGTAGTAGTAATGGTAGTAGTAGTAGTAGTAGCAGTAGTAGTTGTAGTAGTATTAGTCGTAGTAGTAGTAGTAGTCGTAGTAGTAGTAGTAGTAGTAGTAGTAGTAGTAGCCGTAGTAGTAGTAGTCGTAGTAGTAGTAGTAGTAGTAGTAGTAGTAGTAGTCGTAGTAGTAGTAGTAGTAGTAGTAGTAGTTGTTGTTGTTGTTGTTGTTCTAGTCGTAGCAATAGTGGTATGTGTCCTACTATTGTTGTTAGTGTGTTCATTGTTGTTGTTTTTTCAATAAGATTAATCGTAAGTGTATCTGCTCTGATCAATGTTATTATCATTGTGCTTATGTTTCGTATTCTTATGTTTCGTGTTCTATCTTGGTAGCTTGTGATGATTTATCAAGTTCTGTAGAAGGCTGTACATGGCCTTCCACCGCCAAGGGTGCACTGCGGCGTTTAGTTGTCAGACGCGCGGCGCTCTGGTGGTCGAGAGCTCCGTACGGATGTGCTGGGCTGTTCGGTGGTTGCTGCTCGGAGGTGCAGGCGCGGCAGCGCGCCGAGGTGCAGAGGTCGGCGGCGATCGAGGGGGGGAAGTGAGAAAGAAAGAGCTTTCGCGACACCTGAAAGGTTTTTGTCTTCGGGATAGGCTTAGGACACTTCTCAGAAGGCTGGGTGACTTCCGAGCCTTCTTACAAGGCCCGCCCCTTCTCACTTCTCCTCCGGGCGCGTCGCTTCGGAGGGTTGAGGGGTCGGGGCGCAGACGACGCGGGGTGCCGCCTGTGACCTTGGGGGGGAGGAGGGGGGGGGAAGACATTTTAGGGGGGATGGGAGTGGCGCCGGGGATCCGAAGCGCAGGGCAAGTCGGCCGGCGGCGGGGGGTGCGGGGCCTGGTGGAAGAGGGTACGGCCCAGGCAAGGGACGGAGCGGCGGGGCTGGCAGGGACAGGGGGCAGAGAAGGAAAGATCGTAAAGCAAGGCACGAACGTCGCCTGCCAAAGGCTTTATTTTGATGATTCGATTACCACGAGTAGCATTAATCTAGTATTCTTACTACTACTACTACTACTACGACTACTACCACCACCGCCACTATCACAACTATTATCACTGACTGCTACTACTACTACTACTAC